TCTCCTCTTCATTCCTCTTAGCAACAACCACTATTTCCAAGACATCAACATCATATTTCAATGAATTTAAACCTTCATTAAACTTTTTAGCAAGGTCCAACTAGAAAATATTTTTTAGGTTGGTGAAATACCCAATTACCTTGCTAAAGTTTTGAAAGCTAAAAATATCTATAATGTCTTCATCAACATCAAGCTAAACTTCAAATTTATCCCACTTGTACTCCTTCCTATTCTCATTTTCTTCCACAAAATTGCCTCCGTGGTTAATGTAAAACAATATTGTTTGCATTGACAGAGACAAAATTGTTAGAAGAATCAACAATCCTTTGCAATTTTTAAAGTAATTCAACAATTAAATAATGAAAGTCATGCAAGCACATGGGGAAGCGAGTAAAACCATGCAAAAAGGGGACCATCTCAATTCATATTATCATTTTTTTTAAAAGCAAAAAACTGTAACAGAAATAAGGGAATCACTTCCTACCATACCACCATTTTCTTCTCACAAAATAATAAAAAATATTTTCTAAAAACCACATTAACACCAATAAAGGAGAAAGAAAACAATTAGGATTCTTTGTCCCCAATAACGCACAAAAAATTAGGGTTTTGTTACTTATCTAAGTAATAGAAAATGACTCACAATGAATTAGGAAAAAGAATATTACTGAATCCCTATGTGATTCTTCTTCTTACGAGTATAACAAAGTTCAATCTCAATTTTTTCAGCACCAAACATAATTACGATTTCGAATTTGGGTGAAAATTTGAGAAAAATTAGGGTTTTTTTAAGAGTGAAAAGGAGAAATATGATGATATGTTTCGACAATTAGGACCCTTTTTAATTTTCTAGAACAATGTCGTTTCTGCCAAATGTGTGGTCACATTAACTTCTCCACTTCTTCAAAACGACAACATTTTTGCCAATTGAGCTTCTGATATGGCACTTAACATGACACATGGATATTTTGTTATTGTTTATTAACGGTGTGTGGATTTAAGGACTATAGTGCCCGACGGATGTGGAAATCAATGACTAATATGACGGATGCTAACAATCTAAGGAACCAAAATGATAGTTACTTTAGATACTAGCACATAACCATGTTAACTCCTAACCACTTAAACACAATTATCCAAACTTGAAATAAACAAATAAAAAAGTACACCTAAAAAATATATGAAAGGAATAATATTTTAATATATTATGAACTTATTAAAAAAACAACTTGTGAATATCTTGTAGAAAATAATTTATAATTTTTATAAGTAATTTTTAACTTATTTAAATAAATTTATTGATATATATGATCTAAATAAATTTTTTTAACTTATCTCAAATAATTTTATTGTTAATTTATAATATAATTTTTTATTTCAAAAAAGTTTATTAAATATAAATTTAATTATACATTATTTTATTTTATGTATAATTTAAGTGTAGGCCCTCACTTATACTTTTACTTTTGAAGGAGGAATCAAACTCCAAAGCTAAAACTATATTTTTACTTTTTAAAAAAAATTAAATCAACGCAATTGATAACCCTATGAACAAATGCTACTATCCATTTGATATATAATGCCTTAAAAGCTTTTTTATTTTATTGATTATATGTATTAGATTTTGGACACATTGTACTTTATTAGTGACTGCATTAATCCATTAAGTTATCATTTTATATGTATTTTTTTGTGTTAAGTGTATTTTTTATTTTGATATATTTAATATTCTAAAATCATATACGACATTTTAAATTATTTTTTATATATGTTCAATATAGCATGGCTGGGTGAGAGGCTCCTTTAGGAAAGATTGTAGTTTATGATAAAAGAATAGTTAAAAGAGTTTATCCGAATTAGATATGAATTATGTTAGAGAAGATACTTAAGAAAATTATTCCTTTATATAAAGACTTAAATAACTTTGTCTCTTAATGCACTTGTCACGTATTGTTAGACGTTAGATGTTATTGTGTTGCGTTGTGAAATAAAATTGTTGTGTTAGGAGTGTTAAAATGCAATTATATTGTTGTACCTTAATTTTGATATGGAAAAAATAATTTAAGTGGTATGGCCTCATGGTATAGCATCATCCATGACGGATTTCAGGCCATTAAAGCGAATTCACAATGATTGAGTAAAAAAATTAGTTTCAGATTAATATCTTTATTTTATATTATATTTAATGCATGCAAGATAATAAATTATATAGATTATATTGTCTATTTTAGTGTAGCCAACTATAGTTTATTAATTTAAATATAGTAATTTAGTTACAAATGTAAATAATACTAATATTTTGACCCTGTGTACTAAATGAGATAAAATTTAATATTAATTTTTAAAATATATATTATTTATAAAATAATGTAAAAAAACATTCAAGATACTTAAATTTTAAACTAAGTGAGTATATTAAATTTTAAAAACTTAGTTTAATATGACTAAAATTAATAAAATTTTAACATTTAATTAACGTTAAATATTCTATATGACATTTCATTGAATCAATGTTAATAATATATTTTCAAAACAATAAGTTTTTATAATAATTATTTACTACATTTATTTTATAATAGTAAACACAACTATAACGATCATTTAACAATAAATTTTTTAAGAAAATTATCAATTATTTGGTGTACAAAATTACTATGATGATTAATATAAACGTTATTTCTGTGTGAAAAAGAAACAACATTAATAATATAAATATAAAAACTATTTCTTAAATAAATTATGATTTGTTTAATATTATATAAGATAAATTTTATATATGATGTAATAATAAAAATTTAACATTTTCTACATAAAATATATTTGTAGAATAGATATTTATTACTTAATATTCATTTTACATTATATAAAAATGATTTTTTGAATGAATTATGTTCATTACATGAAATAATATTCTGAATAAATCAAAATTTGATAAATGAAATATAGATATTATCAATAAATAATAAAAATAAATTTAATATATATTTTAGATATTAATATAATTTTATATATAAATATTTGTGTAAAACAAAAAATTATTATTTCTTTCAAATATAAATACACTTTGAATACATTTAAAAAAATTATTTCTCGTATCACTCCTACAATAATTAAATTATCTTATCCTAATTCAATGATATAAAAAATAATAAATAAATTTTTTTATTAAAAATATGATAAAATTAACTATTTTAATGGTTACTTCGTCAATTAATATATTTTTATGAATTTTTTAAAATAAATATTTATATGTGAGGTAAATTTTATTTTTCATAATATAGATATTAATATCTTTATAAATAATTTTTTATTTGAGTAATATAAATATTTATATTAAATTTCTTAACCTCTTATTTTGTATAGAAAATATTTCAAAAAACAAATAATTATAAATAAAAATAAAAATAAAAATAATATTACTTTAAAAAATGATAATTTGATAGATGTAGGTAATAGATTTTTCTACAAACTTGATGTGATTTAATTAATAGTATTAAATAATTAATTCAGATATTTTTTTTTATATACTACTTCGAAGATATCAATAATATTTTTTAGGTGGTTCACTTTAATTTTTAATTCTTATATTCAGAAGTTAATTAAACTAAAAAAAAGTCACAAAAGTATCTAAACAAAATATAAATAATTTCATAAAAAATTTACTTTTGTTTATATTATTGTTTGAATGTTATTCTTTAATTATGGTAAATTTTCTACAAAAAATATTTAATGTTGTTGACATATAGTAATTTTAATGAATTAAATTTTTTTTAAAAGTATTTATAATGTCTTGTTTAGAGTTTAGAGTTAAAAATTATTTTTATAATAAAAAATTAAAAAATATATTAATTTTAATATCTTAATTAGTATTTTTAATTTAATAAATATTTTCTTAAATATATGTAGTCGTATAATTAGTTATAAACTTGATATAACATAATTATGCTATATATATATATATATATAATTATAATAAAATTTAAATAAAAAAAGCAGCTATTAACATCTATTTAAAATTTCATGTGCCATAATAGTTACAAATTTCATATGACATTATTATGTTAATTTATTTAAATTATTTTGGAAGAAATTATAACGAAATATAAATGTTATAGTAATTATTATTAACGTCTATTTTCGAGTTATTAAATATGTTTATAATATTAAAATAAAACATATATTTTTTAAATTAGTGTTTTTGAAATTTATTAACATTTATCTTAAAATTTTATTACTTAAAAAATATAACCTAAATATATTTGTTGTGATATAACTAATTAGAAATTTAATATGTCGTAATTATTTCAATTAATTGAAAATTATTTTTGTAGTAATTATAATGAAGTATCAATGTTACAGTAATTATTGTTAACATGTTTTTTTGAGTTATTAAGTCTGTTTATAATATAAAAAATAAAAGAGGAGCACTAGTTCCATTTGAGATACAAACTATTTAACATTTTCAAAGATTAACTACCTTGTAGCTCTACAAATTTATTATTTTATCACTCAGAAGAAGCATAAATTTCAACCATTAACATGTTATGATACATGTGGAGAATATATTTGTGAAGAACAGTTATTTTAATTGTCAAAACAGTTAATTTCAAAAAAGTGTAAAAAATTAATTGTAGAAATTAATTTATTGAAGTGTAAAATATTGATTTTGAATTTTATTTTATAAAAGAAATAATAATTTTAGAAATTAATATTTATAAAAATATAATTTAAAAACCTTATTTGTGATTATTATAAAATTGCAGTGCGGAGTATTATGGGGAGAGAGAGGTACAGGTTCGTGGCCCATTTTGTAGAGAGGCAGTTAAAACCATTCGACGAACACAGTGGCGGAGTCCAACATGTGCAAAAAAAAATGAAGGAAACGACAACGAAGCAAATGGTATATTGATATGATCCGGTAGAAACGGCATCTGTTAACGGCACACGTGAGAGGCAATGTCACATCTTTGACCTACGGATTAAACTAGGGTTTCCCATTGCCTCCTATTTAACCCACACTCTTACGTATTTGCTGGTGCGGTGCAGCACCTTCCTGCCCTCCCCAAAACTGAAAAAAACAAAAAATTCAAAAAACTATTTTATTTTTCAGTTTCTCCGCCGCCATCCTCCGCCGCTACCTACCTCCGTTCCGATCTGCGGCGGCACTATCCCTAGCCTATTTACACGCGCACGGAAGCAAAATCAAAAAAATTATTTAGAATTTTTTCCGAGTTTTCTTCGCGAGAAGTGGTTAGGGTTTAGTTTATCTGAGTTTCATCTATCTATCATTATCATCAATTTGAGGCGGTGATGGCGCAGATTCAGGTGCAGCATCAGGGTCCCGTGTCGACTCCTCCCAACGGCGTAGCTACTGCTCAGAACGCCAACCAGTTCGTGACCACGTCGTTGTACGTTGGGGATCTTGACCAGAATGTCAACGATTCCCAGCTCTACGATCTGTTCAACCAGGTTGGCCAAGTCGTTTCGGTTAGGGTTTGCAGGGACTTGACTACTCGTCGTTCACTCGGTTACGGCTATGTTAATTACAGTAACCCTCAGGATGGTTAGTTTTTTCTTTTCATTATTTTTAGCTGCATTGTCTTGTTTTTGGGTGAAGATTGTGGTTAATTGTGATTTGTTTGGTGTTGCTTTATCAGCGGCAAGGGCATTGGATGTGCTGAATTTCACTCCACTGAACAACAAACCTATTAGGATCATGTATTCTCACCGGGATCCCAGTATTCGGAAGAGTGGTACTGCTAATATTTTTATCAAGGTACCCCTTTTTATCTCTTATATTAGATAAAACAATTAATTTCAGATAGTCAGTGGAATTAGTCCTTGAATTTACAAAGTTTTAAAAATTCAGGGATATTGTAGTGGTTTTGGGAATGTTGGTCAGTGTGGCCAATTTTATTTTTAGGTAACTATGAGATGAGGATTTGTATTGGAAATCAAAGTATATATTACTTTTTTATATCTTAATATTCTCATTTGTTCCTGTAAAATGGAGAATAATTATATAACTAAATTGCCTATTTAGCCAGTTTTTATGCTGGACAATGAATTTTATTGGTCTGCTGTTTCAATTGGCATATTGATTCTCATAATTTTCTAATGATATTGGTGTTGCAGAATTTGGATAAGGCTATTGATCACAAAGCCTTACATGATACTTTTTCTTCTTTTGGACACATTCTTTCTTGCAAAATAGCAACTGACACTTCTGGCCAGTCTAAAGGCTATGGTTTTGTTCAGTTTGACAACGAAGAGTCTGCACAGAATGCAATTGACAAGTTGAATGGAATGCTCATCAATGATAAACAGGTTTATGTAGGTCATTTCCTACGAAAGCAGGATAGAGAGAATGCTCTCAATAAGACAAAATTCAATAATGTCTATGTGAAAAACCTAACGGATTCAATCACGGATGATGAGTTGAAGAACATTTTTGGAGAGTTTGGGACTATTACTAGTGCTGTAGTAATGAGAGAAGCTGATGGTAAATCAAAATGTTTTGGTTTTGTAAATTTTGAGAACCCAGATGATGCTGCTAAAGCTGTTGAGGCTCTTAACGGGAAGAAGTTTGATGACAAGGAGTGGTATGTTGGAAAAGCCCAAAAAAAATCTGAACGAGAACAGGAACTGAAAGGACGATTTGAGCAGAGCATAAAGGAAGCTGCTGACAAATATCAAGGTGTGAACTTGTATCTTAAGAACTTGGATGATACCATCAGTGATGAAAAACTTAAAGAATTGTTCTCTGAGTTTGGCACTATAACTTCATGCAAGGTATGCAAATGTGATGTATTTTCTTGTATATGTTATGGTCCAATCCTTTTTTGTGGGCAGCAGAGCTGACAAATTCACGTCTTAACTTTTTCTGCAGGTTATGCGAGACCCAAATGGAATCAGTAGAGGATCAGGATTTGTTGCATTTTCAACAACTGAGGAGGCTTCTCGAGCTGTAAGTATAGAACTGTATGTTACTATTATTATTATTATTATCATACAAAGGAAGTTTATGTTTCATTTACAATTTTGTTGGTACGTGTAGCTTGGAGAGATGAATGGTAAAATGATTGCTGGGAAACCTCTGTATGTTGCCCTTGCACAGAGGAAAGAAGAGAGAAGAGCAAGGTTGCAGGTAATCCCATAGTTACCATGCATCAGCAACTTATGTTGTGCTTTACAAGTGCTCTGATTCTGATTGTTTTTAGCATAGAAATTCTTTCATTTGGTCCATGAATGGTGGTTAATTTGTGTACTTCTGTTTTCCTCTTTTAGTATATTAACTTAAATGTGATCTCAATAATTATTTGGGTAGTGTGTTGAAAATGTGAAATTTTATTTCCCTGAAGGCTGAAGCATTGATGATAAATACAATATTTGTATGGTTTGATTAGTGTAGTTGGTGGTGTTGAGGGGAATGCCTTAGGTTCTTAGTTAAGGATTGAGCTAACATTTGTCTGCTGGCAGTTGACTTCACAAATGCCCAGCCCATGAAAACATTGTTTTTCATTTTAAATCTTAGCGGCTAGTAAGATTACTGTACAATCGAAGTTGTATGTAACACAATAAAATAGAGTCATTATTAAGGAAACAAGTGCTTTCTTCTTTGTTGATAATATTGCTGTCATACGACTGATAAAGCTGCATTTCTGTTTTCAATTTTGGATTTTCAATCTGCCTATCATTCTTCTTTGTACCTTTGATCATTAAACTTGTTTCTTTAACACAATGATCTACAAAAAATTGTTTTGCATGTGCTATGTTTTATGTGTGATTTACTCACTTTGCTGTCCCTATTTTTATTTTTTATGCAATTATTATGACTTAGTATTGTGCTTTATTTTACTTATACAAATTTAAACCCTTTCATTATGGGCATGACATTAACCTCTACTATCATTGATATGAAATTTTGTAATACATACAAAATAAGAAATGGTTGGTATGGGTTTGCAGAAATATATATCAATTGTATATAAATACTAATTCTTATATGAATTTCACATAACTATGAAACAGATAAGATCTTTTTTTATCATATCCTCCTCCTGTTACTAATGGAAAAATGCAAACTGATGCTATTGAATTGCTTTATTGAGTATAATCAGAATCCTATCCGTACTGCTGAGTGGTGTCATGGGACACAGTTTAAACTGGAGAGGGTGTAACATAATCTTTCCCTATTTGATGGTTTGATGACATGAAAGTCAATTCACATTGAAGCTACAATTAGAATTGGGGGGAAAATGTTAGTGTCTTGTGGGTTTTTGGCTGATATATGCAAGCTGTATTAAGTAAACTAAGGCCTTAAGTTCCAAATCTGTGATAGCTCACTTTAGAGGAAGAAATTTAGAAGGAAAAAGTTCAACTGTTAGCAACAACACACATCAGCAAGTAGATTTAGGGTGTGTTTGGGTAAATAGTGTAATTTAGGGCCTATTCACTAAGCTCTCTTTATACGAGGCCTTACTGCATAATTTTGATCGTGAAATTTATTGAAACCAGCTGAAAATAACTTATTTTGATAAGTTAAACCTTGAGTTTAGTGGAATAATTTTAAGTTTACAACAGTCATAAGCTATTTTCACTAGTTTTTTATAAACTGTTGCCCCCTTTTGACTTCGGCTGTGTATTCTCAACTTTTGAGAATAATGTTATTCATATTCAGATTCATTGTTTCCGTGGTTGAACTGAGGCAGTGTATCACCAGGAAAACAAAAACATGACATTTCACTTATGAAGCCCACCACCCTAGGAAGACAATCATTAATTCATTGATGAATTCATGATATGAAAATTTTCCTAGTCTATTTAGTTTTATTTATTATTTTTATAAACTTTTTCAGTCTCTTTTCTGTTCTTGTATGATGATTGACTGGTTATTGTGACAATGAAAAATGCAAATGACAGGGGATCTTAACCTTTTCTTTCAATATTTTTACTCATTTCATGCAGGCACAATTTTCACAGATGAGGCCTGTTGCAATTACACCTTCTGTTGCACCCCGCATGCCACTCTACCCTCCTGGTGCTCCTGGTTTAGGACAACAATTTTTGTATGGCCAAGGACCTCCAGCCATGATTCCTCCACAAGTAAATATTAGCCAGTTGGCAAATTGAAGTTTTATTTTTGGCACTACCATGCATTAGAAATTTCTGCACTACAGTTGTGAAAATGTCAACTCAATATATATATATATATCAGTTGGTCTTGACCTTGTGCAAGGGCCTGCATATTTGTTAACATAATACCTGGGGTCAGTTAATGTGTTTGATTATTTGATGTGTATTGATAGATAACTATAATTATCATTCCAATTATAAATACAGGCTGGATTTGGTTACCAGCAACAACTAGTACCTGGAATGAGGCCTGGTGGTGCTCCAATGCCAAGCTTCTTTGTTCCTCTTGTTCAACAGGGCCAACAAGGGCAGCGCCCTGGAGGACGCCGTGGAGCAGGCCCTGTGCAACAACCCCAGCAGGCAGTGCCAATGATGCAGCAGCAGGTCTGCTCTAGCACATGGTTTTTCTATTTCTTTTGTATCTTTTCTATTCTCTATGCCTGAGATGTGGTAATTTGATTTGTTTCTCAGATGCTTCCAAGGGGACGCGTCTATCGTTACCCTCCTGGCCGCAACATGCAAGAAGTTCCACTTCCAGGAGTAGCTGGAGGAATGCTGTCAGTCCCTTATGACATGGGTGGTCTGCCAATCCGTGATGCTGTGGGACAGCCAATGCCTATTCAAGCATTGGCTACAGCCCTTGCAAATGCTCCTCCTGAACAGCAGAGGACTGTAAGTCCTGTTTCCTGCTTTTGTCTTTTTATCATCTGGTTTTTAATTGCTTTTAGGGCTCTATGGTTATAATATCATACTGATTCTTTCTTCTGAAATGGTTTACTAGATGCTTGGTGAAGCTTTATACCCGCTTGTGGATCAGCTGGAACATGATGCAGCAGCAAAGGTTACAGGCATGCTTTTGGAGATGGATCAGCCTGAAGTACTGCATCTGATTGAGTCACCAGATGCTCTCAAGTCAAAAGTTGCTGAAGCCATGGATGTGTTGAGAAATGTTGCTCAACAGCAAGCCAATAGCCCAGCCGATCAACTAGCCTCACTCTCTCTAAACGACAATCTTGTGTCTTAGATTCTTAGTCTTTTGACAGGAATCTGCACTTTAGTTATGCTTTACTTCCAGTTTATTTGCATTTCTCTTAGGTATTTGATGTTTTAGTCAGTACTAAAGCTTTGTTATGCTTGCTTTTTTATGCTTTCACATTTTGTTTATTTATTTTCGTTTCTGGCTTGCTGTAGGATTATAGCATAGCTTGTTTGATTTGTTATTTTATGGATTTATTTAAATTGTTTGCTTTTATTTAGATTATTCGTCCTAATTAAACTTAAGTTTTGAATGTATGGGTGTACTAGGTCGAAGCTAGTAAATTTTATTAACTTTGCGATGTACATTAAATTTTCAAATGATCTTATATTTTAAATAAGATGAATCTTAAAAATGCTTTTGCATGAAGTTTTCTTAATTTTAATTTGGTGAAAAAGAGGTGGATGAACTAGTTTTTTTTTTTTTGGCAATTATTAATAAAAATCTTTATTATAAAATGAGTAATATTCACATAAATTAACTAAAAATTACTTAGTAATATTTTAATAAAGAAAAATCATTAAAATATGAATAATTTTCACATAAATTAATATGGACAAGAATTATGGAGTTTTATTAGGAATAATGGTTAAGAAATTAGAAGTTAATTTTTTTAATTAAATTGCAAATGTTTAATATTATTAAAATATTAATTCGTAATGATGTATCCGATGTATTAAGATTACAAATTAAATTTTGGGAGCAATTTTTAAATTTAAATTTTTAAAAATGACACCATTGAATTAGTTGTCACATTTTTTTATGTATGAATTGAAGCATTATATTTTATTTTATTTTATTTTATTGTTGATACTGCTGAATTTTGTTTCAAAAAGAAAATAAGTAAAAAATTAAGTTGAATGGAGATAATAATAATATTAATAATTATTAATAATAATCGAGGTGAATGGAGTTGGGGATAAAAATAAAATTGATGAAATTTATGCTTAAAAAAAATTTATTAGATTTATTAGAATAATTTATAAAATTTATAATAATATATTAACTTATTTTATATAAAAATTATAATATAAATAGAAGTAAGATATTTTTACACCAATATAAATTAAATGAAAGATTCAGATTAAGTATAAAATTTTTTAACTTGCACTAGTGTAGAAAAATCCTTCTCCATATAAATATATAATTATTTATTATCTTCTTGCATACTTATTTATATTTTATATAACTTTTTTTATTATTTTTTTTATTTTGAGGTTAACAAAATATTTTTTTTTAATTGAGTAATAAAATAATTTTATCTACTCTTATTCTCTTGTGAATAATCAATTATAATTAAATTCAATTAATTTTTATAAAGAAGTTTAATGATCTATTAAAAGTTTTAATACAAAATAAATAATTAAAAAGGTTAATATATTAAAACAGACTTTTTTAAAAGTTAGATTAAACTTAATAAAAAATTTATAACAGATAATAAACTCAACTTAGATTTTAAAATTATTAAATAAATCATTCCTATTTATACAAAGTCTACCACAACTTAACCTATTTTCATCTTAATAGTAAACTTACTTGAATAGAGATAATCCAACTCCTTGCAATTTAATTTAGACACATCAAAGAGGTGTTCACACTATATTCATCAATCAAAATTGATTCTGTTTAAGCCATGAAAATTTAACAAAAACATCCCAATCAACCCCTCCTATGTACATTTTTTTTTCTTTAACACTTCATTTTCATCCCTACTAAAGATTACAAAGGTTAAGGCAGTCCTCTTACATGATTTTGCTACATAGTTGTTAATGCTTTAATAATTGAATGGATGTTCCCTTGGTTGTCTCCCTTTGAAACAATAGTTAAGAACTTGCTATTCAAACAAGTCCTAAACTAGAGCATTGCGATGAATTAAGGTATATCGAATAATAATGGAAACAAAACTGATTTAACAGAAAATATTAACATCTTAGTAATCAAAATCTTTGCTGCAAAAATAGAGAGTAATCTTAAGTTTATTCTATAATTTCTCCCTCCTCTTCATCAGATCCCTCAATTCCTTCTCCATTATCACAATTTCTTTCAACCAAGGAAGAAGGTTCTTTGTGTGGATCATTATCAATAACAGTGTCATTGTCATCATCATCACTGTCTTCATCTTCACTATCACGGCCCTTATCATTATTGTGGTTTACAATTTTTTGAACTGTGCTCTCATTCTCGGGTTTAAGAACATCTTGTCCAGTGTGCAAGTATTTTCCTTCACCACCACCTTCAGATCCATTTTCTTCAATCAGGACTGATGGATACCTCAGTGGCTTTTCAGGACAATGTTTGAAGAAAGAATTCATTACCATGAACCTGAAAACCTGAAACAGGTAGCTCTTATCCCTCTTTATATCTGCACTTAAAAGTTTCTGCAATAAAGTTGGCTTCCTCTTCTTTGATGAAGGGTTCTCTGAAAAATCTTTGTCAGCAAACTTCTGCTTCTTGGCAAACCGACCTTTTCTGTCTGATTTCTTGTTGAACTTGTTTTGGAATTTTCTTTTGTTAGTAAATTTGTTTTTTCCTTCACTCTGAAGACCTTGATTTTCAGAATTCTTCAGGTAGCATGATGGAATTTCAGCAACTTCAAGTCCCAACTCAGCTTGCTTTGCTAAAACCTTCGTTAGCTGCAATGATAAGATATATACTTATATACTGCAGTAATGAATTGAAATACTATTTGTTACTAGTCCAAGAAAGATTTATTTGTCAGCATTTATACATCATGCTAAAAGAAATACTATTTTCTTAGTTCTTGATTGAACAACAAAATCAATTTGGAAACATAAGTATGTTATATTGGAAGATATTATATATGTTGAAATCATCCCACTAATAAGTGTACCTCTCTTTGTAAGACCTCCCTATCAATGACCTTGGAGTCTTTCAGGCGTTCACTGTGCTTCTGAAAGTAATAATTCAGCAATCACTCATTAGACAATAACATGTGATAAACACAAGCTGTAGATAGAGCAGTTTGTTTAAAACCTTCTGAATATTGTTACTGAAAGGGTGATTCTTTTTCCGTGCTTCACGCCACTGTTGGATTTCTTGCTCAGTGTATGTCACAGAGAAGGATCTAATCATTCAAGAAATAAAATAATAGCAATCATACATAAACAAGGTTAGAGTTAAGATATAGCAAGTATAAAAGGATAAGTTTCAAAATTAAAATTTTAAGTAATTGAATAGAGAAAAGACAAAAAACTGACAAGAAAGCAGACATTATTTCTAAAAATAACACCAAAAAGATATCTATATTTTCATTTAGATGGTTATACGAAAATTGTTAAAAGGTCACAACATATTGAGTCAATATGTTGAAGGGAGGCCGGGTATTTTAATTATATTGAATCATGGATGTTATTTGACTACCATACTTGATCTCATAGTTCAAAATTCAAATGGACTATTGGCACTCCCTTAATCAGTGAACATTTAATATCCTTAGTGGATTTATCTCCTTTTACATCTCAATTTAGTTTTCCAAATTAATTTCATCATCAATTACACATTTACGCTCCTAAACTACCTTTAGCTATAATGAACAATTGAGTAACTCATTGAATTTAAGAAAGCTGGTAAAAAATCAGGGGGGGGGGGGGTGGGAATATAGAATTGACTTATTCCCTATATCCCACCATTCTATAAAATCCAGTAAATGTAGTAACTAGTGACAGACTAAAAAACTGGACAACATTTGGGCACAGAATCAAGGATAATATGCCAAAACTTTGCAAAGCATGGCAAAAATCTTCTAGAAGCATTATTTTGCCTCTGTGATTAACATAATTGTTATGCGAACATTATAATGACAGTAACATTCTATAAATCTAAATAAAATATTGCATTCAGACGATATGTACTAGAAAGCATATTTAGAACCCTAGTTTAAAGAGAAAATAGTTCATTGACAGAGCTATTTTCCTGATAGTTGTAACAGAAACTAAAATAAAATAACCTTCATTTCCAGTGAATCAGTCAATAAACAAAGTGCCAGTTCATTAGCATCTTGTTACACATTATTATTACCACGGTAGTTAAAATCCCGATTTGAATCTTAAAATCTTACGATTTTACGATTTTGGAAGTCTCACCGATTTAAATCGTGGATAAAATCCTAATTGAGTAAAATCCTTGTAAAATCCCGATTTGAATCATAAAATCCCTCAAATTGTGGGATTTTACGATTTCACTTCGATTTTGAAAATTTCTCGCAAAGTCTATTTTGTTGAACCCTATCGTTCGCCTCTTTCATATATCTCCTTTTTATGGAATCTAATTTGCCTCTAGCAGCTTTGAACCCTAACATTGTTGTCAACATTCAACAGTCCTCCTAGTGCGTGCAACCTGGTCTGCAACTAAATCTATTCTTGTTGTTCTTGCATCTTTTCTGTTCTGGTCTATTTTTTATTCACGTAAATGCATTACATTCTTATGGAATAAATTATGATTTGTGAGTGCTACGTTGTTTAAGTACTTTTACTTATTTGAAGCTTGTTTCCCTTAATTTATGATATTTTATATGAATAATATGAATTTATATCATATATATGAATTTTATAAAATCTTACGATTTAATTTACGATTTACGATTTTCACTCTCCTTTACGATTTAAAGTAAAATCCCGATTTTAACTACCTTGATTATTACTATTGTTACCAATTTATCATGAACAAAGCACAGTTTAAAGCAGTTGAACGTAAGGCACTGCTAGTAAGTAATAGACTGGAACCAAGTAAGAAAGGAACAGAAAGTCAAGCAGAAGCTACCTTTCCTGTTCCTGCTTAAGTTCCTTTGGTTTTAAAGCATCCTGTCCTGCCTTCCCATTGTTAGGCCCTGTTTTCACCACATGCATTAGTCAAACCCAAAAAAAATGTTTTCATCATGGTAACATGGTAGAAAGTCCAAACCTTTGCCCTTATGTTCTTTAGGAAACCCAATTCTCCTCTTTCCATTGTTGATATCATGAAATTTAGACTTCTGGAATCTACATGAACAGGACAATGATTGTAACTCACAGGAAAAGTATGAAACTAATAAATTGTTAACCTAATAAACCAAGAGAGATATAAGAGAAAAGAAATAACATACCCTCCTTGAAACCCCCCTTGATTTGGTTTATTTTTGAAGTGTTTGCTTGGTGATCCTTTCCAATTAGATTTTGGAACATTAGTTTTAACATTGCTATTAGGATTATCCTGCAGAAATTATTGAGAATACCATAAATATAGTAGCCACAACTTTTTTTAACAATAGTATTCACAGGTAGCTGAATAACAAACTCGGCTAATACACATTGAAAAGGCAGAAACATTTCAGTTTCAAATACCTGTGAGTGTGACTTCGTAAATGCAGAAGGCTGAGAGTTATTTGCATGAACTGAATTGGGATTAAGTGGTCCAGAAGCATTGCCTTGCAACTGCTGAGATGAAAACGGTGATGATGATACAAAAGCATTTGTGTTCGCATTTGGTGGAACCAGGTTTTTCTCATTTGGATCAATCTGCAGCCCAACCTGATTTCCAGGCACAAGACCAAACTGGGAATTTGAAGAATAGACTGAACTTTGAGGGACCATAGGCTGAGCCACTTGGTTTGGAAACCCAAACATTGGACAAGAACTAGGAAGCATACTATATGGAACAACTTGAGAAGGGTTTGGTACTTGCATAGGTAACTGTTGATTCATATTTTGCACATGATATGGGGCACAAAATTGACCATTTTGCATACTCAAGTTCAGATTAGGCTGTTGAAGCATATTCAAAATACCTTGTGCTAAAAGTTGCCCCTGAAGTTGAGACAAATTGATTGGAGCTGCATTCTGCATGGCAAGTCCCTGAACAGGAAACATTGGATTGTAATTGGCACTGCCTACACTATTTTGTTGACCTAAAGCCCCCGCATGGGGTTGACCCTGTAGAGGACCAACCAAACCCATATGAGGTAGATGCATCTGATTGTTCCGCAAGGGAAGGAACTGATTAGCAGCATTCATGAAAGGTGGTGTGTTCATGGGCTGTTGCATGTTGGGCACAAAAGGGGTCATCAAGTTTTGACCTTGGTGATTGCCTGCACCTGAAAGAGGCTGTGTTTGCATGCCCACACCGTTGTTTTGCATCAAAATTTGGGGTTTAGGAACATTCGAGAAACTGGGTTGAGTTCTTGAGGTGGTTGGATTATTAGACATGATGTGAACATAAACTCAAAAAATCTATAATCCAAACTGTGAATTAGGCTCAGTATCGGAGGAAGCACTGTGAGGAATGAGGTACAGTAACTGAAGGAAGTCGAGAAGTTACAGTATGATAAACCACTTTTGATTTTGAGTATGGAAACTCTAAGAGGGAGAGAAAGATAGAGACTTTACCCTGAAAAATCGAATTTTAGGCAAATCCCGTTTGAGTTTGAAGCTCCATAATGCTGCGCAAGAGGAATAAACTTCCACTGTCTGACCCTGCATGTATTTGGAAATTCTAGGGCAAAGCCTGAGGCTATACAATTGTTTTTGACATATAATTCAATTTTAAGTAATAAATATATTTAAATATGAATATTTACATAAAATGTTTATTTTGATTATTTTAATTTTAATAGGTTTAATATAAAGTTTTCAATTTTTTTTAATAAATATTTTTATACTATTTATGCATGATAGACATTTTTTTAATTTTTATATGTAAAATTTTAAATTTTTATCATATAAATATTTATTTTCCAAATTAAATATTAATATTTTTAATGTAACATTATCTTTTTATGATATTAAAATTTATCTATTTGATTTATAAATCATTATATTTTAACTAGTATTTATATTCGTGTGATTCATATATAATGTATATTAATCTTGTTATTTAATAATAAATTAATATATTACAAGCTTAACTTGTAATTTTAAATTTAAATATAAGTGACTTAAATACTTAAAAAAATTGTCACTGATAACAGAATTATTTTATTCAACTTGAAAATAATTGCTTTAATAAATAATATTTATAATTTAATTTAAAAACAATTTATCAATAAAAATTATTAATTTTTATAATAATTTAAATAAAAATTATATTTATAATATATTATAATAAAATCACAGTACAAATTTTGTTAATAATGACAATATATCAAAATTAAGTTAAAATATAAATTCAATATTTTAAATTTACACGATTTTAATGTAAATCCTTGTATTAAAAAAACAACTTATCCTAGTATATGAAAATATTTTAAGTAACCCGACATTTGCATTGGAGAAAGAAATACTATTGGATATGAGGGAACATAAACTCAGTAAATTTATAGTCGAAAGTGGGAATTAGGCTCAGTTTTGGGGAGGCCTGTGAACAATGCGTGAATATTCAAATTTTCTCGACTTAATTACAATTTTCCCTGTTAATTGATGTATATACAGTACTATTATCTTTTTATTATAAAATTATAAACTGTTTCTCTTAAAAAAATTAAACTACATCATAAATTAATTTATTCTAAACTTTTTCTGAATATCTATTTGAATTTTTTTTTACAATTTTTTAATGAATTTTATATATTTTTAATATTTTTCAAAATACTTAATGAGCTCAAATAATTTTTATAGAATAATAAATATTTATTATTATTATAAAAGTTTTAAATATTTATATTAATATCAAATAATGAAATTAGAATAAATTTAAGCTCACATTTGATGAAAATATACTATAAATGATCTCTAACTTTAACATATTAAAAAAACTTTAAAAAAATTAAGAAATTAAATCACACAAATAAAAATTAAACTAGAAATAAAAAATTAAAAAAATAAATTTAAAATTATGACATACAAATATTTAAATTAAATTATGATGCATTTTAATTATTTAAAGGAATGATTATATAATTTTAAAATTAAAAAAATAAAGTAGTATAATATATGCTTCTTTTAAGAAACAAAAACGTAATTTATTTTTAAAATAAAATAAATATAAATAAAAATTATAAAACCTGGAAAAGAAAAACTAACCACGCTTACCCTAAAAATAGATAAATTTTAAAAAAATTAGTATATGTATAATTTATGAGTACTGTTTTCTTAAATGAAAGTATTAAAAATTATTTTTTTATTTTATATTAATAAAAACATTTTTTTAATTTTAAAAATTTATTAAATTTAAAAGCAGTCATTAAATATTTTTAAAATTATTCATTTAAAAATTTTAATTTAATTTTAGCAAAAAAAAAAATAAATTTAATAGCATCCTATGAACGAAAGATTTACTAGTGATATTAATATGTATTATTTTTATTTCTCTTTTTTTATCTTTTGCTTTATTTATAGATTTTTCTTAAATTTATAAAAATAATACAATTACTAACAATAATAATTTTTGGTGCAATGATATATATAATAATACATAGGACAATAAACTGCTAATGGTTATAGTATAAGATTATAATAATAAATTTCTTTTATGTATATTTATAATAAAATTAAAGGTATATATATATATATATATATATCCTCACATTTTAATAAATTTTTATTTTAATTCCTTTAAATGTTTTTTTTTTTTTTACGTTTTAGTTCTATTGTTAATTTAGTTTATTAAAATTTTATCAAATAGAAGAAGGAACTAAAACTTATAATTTATTAAACTATAAGATTATAAAAAATGTTTGAAATATTAAAACTGAAAATTTATTATAATATAATAGCTATAAATATATTTAAGCTAAAATTAAAAAGTTTGTGTGTCAATTTTTTTATTGCGTATCATGTACATATAAAAAGTTCATAATATTATCTTTTAAAAATGTATTAGTTTAATATATACATATGTATTATTTTTAATTCAAATAATAAATAATTAAATAATTATTATTAATTGGATGATAAAATTACCTTTAGTATTGTTTATATTATAAGGATTTATAAAATATTCACATGTCAATTTTAATTTTATACAAGAGTAATATTTTTCCCTTCTACCGATATTTGAGCTCTATCTGCCATGAAATTATCTTTCAACACTTATCATCAAGAATAATGCTACAGTGATATTATATATATACTCGTTTTCCAAATAATATTTTTTTTCTAAGATCCATTATTTTCATAAAATAAAAATATTTTCTTTCCACGTTTAAAAATGAGCATTTCTCAAAGGAAAATCAAAATATTCATTTCTCAAAATAAAATTGATCATTTTCTCAAATAAAAATATTATCGTTCTTACAAATAAAAATCAATATTGCAAAAAAAAATAATTAAAAAAACATCTCTCTATGTTTAAAAATCAACCCCTTCTAAAAATCTAAAAATATTATTTTTTTAAGATATTTAAAAATAAATTTTAATTTATTTTTTATAAAATAAGTTTAAAAAAAATTTATAAGGTTTAAAATAAATATTTTTAAAATTAAAATGTCTTCTTTTCAAAATTTAAAATTATCTCTTACAACTATAAATTTATTCAAATTTTTTAAAATCCCAATCTTTTAAAAATAAAAAATAAAATCGTTAAAACTTAATTTTAGTAAGCTTAGTTCTCTTTAGACTTAATTATATCCAAGTTAAAAAAGTTGAAATTTATTCAAATTAATTTAATTGGACAAACTTATTTTATCGGTTCTAATCTTGTGTAAAAGTAACAAATAAAATATTTTCCTTCTCAATTTCAATCGTTTTAATATATATATATATATATATATATATATATATATATATATATGTGTGTTATGCTCACATTTAAACTATTTATAATTTAATATAAAAAATATTTTTTGTCAATTTAATTGTTAAATTATAATTATATATTATTTATATTATTTTTATCAGATTTATTTAAAATTGAAAAACTAGGGAATTTCAATTAAAAAGTTCTTACATTTACATATTTTAAATGCATATATTTTATTAAGTTTGATGCGTACGAAGAAGGTGTCAACAAATTTTAAATTAATCTTAAATTTTGTAAATATGATCAATGTTTTAAAAGTTTTAATCTAATTAGTTGATTTTAAAAATAAATTATTTAATAAAAATTATTAAATAGCATAAAAGTGAGTACAATTTATACCGGTATAATTATAATATATATATATATATATATATATATATATATATATATATATATACTTTATGTGTTTGATATTTTAAAGTTCTTAATTTTTTTGAAATATTAATCTTTCAAAAATATGAAACCAATAATTTTTTAAATAAAAATATATTGCTTCTTCAATTTTATTTTAATCAATATTTTCAAAAGAATCATAATTTTATCAAAATCAAAATTACTCGTCCAAAAAGGAAAAAAGTAATCATCCTAATTTTGGCCCTTAATGTTAGTTACAAAATACTTGGGGAAGACAATGACTCAAAATTTTAAACAAAATGTTCTAAATAATATAGGCAAAAACAGGGATATTAATTTTGTGTATATTTTATATTTTAGATAATATAAACCCTAAAAATAATCATTTCTACATGTTTTGTGATGTACAATTTAGACTCTTGATTTTTAGATATGTGCAATCTGACATCCTATATTTTTGAAAGTATATATAAAAAAAAAAATGCCTAACTTCCCCTAGGGATGGCAATGGGTAAATTACCCGATAGGCACCCGCAAAATTTACTCACAATGGGTAGGGTATTTACCTGCTATACGGGTACGGGTATGGGTGTGGATAAAAACCCGCAAATTTTAATGGAGATGGGTGCGGGTATGGGTATCTAAGTACCCACCCCGCCCCATACCCGCATATATATATATATATATATATATATGCGGGTATGGGGCGGGGTATATATATATATATGCTTGAACTTTATTCTACAATTATGATTTGATTTTTTGTATTATTATATTACTTATGTGAAGTTATATAAGATTAATATAAAAATATATTTAATAATAAAGTAAACCAAAAAATTTATTTTGGTTTATATTTTTAATAGAAAAATTTATTTACTATTTTATATCATTTAATTCGGCTAACACAATTTAATTATTACATATTTAATATGAGATTGACTTTTTTTAAAATATTATTTATATATGACACACATAAAATATTTTTTACACAAATACTTTTGTTAATAAAATCATATTGATGTTTCAATCATAAAGTGAATGATAAATAATAAATATATTATAAATATTTTATAAATTTTACAATCACCTACTATTACCATAAATTTATTATTTATTAATAATATTTAAATTTTATTTTTATATTTTAATTTAAAATAATATTTTTCTATGCAACATATGTATTATAAGCACAACTATAATTTATTAAATCTAAATAATATTATTCTTACTATTTATTCACATTCAAAGAAGTTTTTGAAAAGATATAAATATAAAAAATTATTGTTAATTTTTTTAAGATAAAAAAGTATAATTTTTTAATATACACGTATATTTCTTTATTATAAAATTTTATTGTAACTATTTATCTTTTATTCAAATATTTTTTTTTTAAATTTATATACATTAGAAATATTTAATTCACTAAAATAATTTTTCAAAAATTTATATTTTTGATAAAATACTTTCGTATAGTATATGAGTTAAAAAATACTAGTATTAATATATATATATATATATATATATATATATTAATTATATTATATTATTTTAATTAAATCTATTATTTTTCTTACAATTTCAAATTCAAAAGTTAAAAAAAATATTTTATGTATCAACTTTCTATTGTTAGTATTGAACTTCTCTACTTTAACTCTATTCTCATTCTCAATGTCTGTCTCACTAAAACTTAATAACTATGAAATGTTATTCATTAGAGTTAGTTGTTAATGCCGTCACAAGAGGTTACTAAGTGATCCCACACGAAGGGACAACCATTGTACAGATCTATTTCGTTGTCGTTCTGACATTACTAATCAATCAAATCTCACACAAGATAGGATTATCACTGACAAATAACTTGTGTGTTTAGTTTTGCTTATTGTTTCTAAAAATTTTAGTTTAGAAAATTATTATATTAAGATACATTTAACATTTATGATCTTTGAATATTTATTTTTTTATCTATATTTGTACCTTGTTCGACAACTACATATTGAATTTTTGTATTATTATGCTACTTATGTGAAATTATATAAACATATTTTTCTTTATAAATATTTTTTTCTCAAACAAGCGCGGGTAATGAGTACAAGACGGGTATGCGAGTACCCAGAGGGTACGGGTACGGGGATTAATGTTCATACCCACGCGGGTATGGGGCCGGGTACGGGTATTTTTTTAAAACGCGGGTATGGGGATGGGTACTGTAGTACCCTACCCATACCCTACCCATTGCCATCCCTAACTTCCCCTCTCTATATAATGACAATTATTTTTAGAGTATTTATGTCTAAAAAAAAGCCTATGGATCTTAATCTCCTCAAGTGATATTGAGTAATGGAGGGGTTTATCTGCATATTTTAAAAAATATAAAATATTGCATTACTTTCAAAAGTAAAGGTTTAAATTACATATAACTAAATATACACAAACTCAAATAAACTTTTCCTAAGATAATATTCTATATCCTGATCCAAATATTAATTTTAACTCAGGGCAAAACATAACATCACTGATAAATCTATTACTAAATCTTAGAAGCTGCAATTTGGTACAACTTTATATAATTTTAAGCGTCAGCAAATGCTAAAGCAAATGTTTTTTTTTTTAAATTAAATAGAAAATATATAAAGAGAATTCTATTAACTATTTAGTTAATAACACCCGACCTTTAATAAAATTTATCAAATGAATCTAGTTGTTTCAAAAAGAGGTAGAGATGAGAAAGTCTTAAATTTAATGAACATATATCAAATATAAATACAATTATATTGTCAAAATGAGGCTTTTTATAGAAAATCTATTAGATAACAATTTGGCTAAAAAATACAAGTTAAGTGTGTATAAGGACAATGTTCTTGAAATTACTGAACATAGATAATAAGACTATAGAAGACCTTCTAGCATAAATCATAATACAATCAATGACTTTAAAGATTTGAACATGTTTTCATAACTCATCAATATATGTAGAACGCAGCCTAATTTTTTATTTCGCTCTTAATGAATGACCTCATTTGAAATTGTAGAAGAATTAGTAGGAGGAAATTTTATCGCATGAACAATGATTTAATTATTTTATATAAATTGGATTTCATTATTGCTTTAAAACTTATATTTACCTAAGATAAGATTATCATAATTATTTTATTCGCAACCATGTAAAATATAACTATTTTTACTAAAACACATCAACTAAAGTTGTTAAAATTAACATTTCTGAGAACCAATTCTTTTATACTACTCATTTCATCTAATATTAAATGATACTTAATATTAATACACATATGTTAAGAGATTGATTAATTTTATTAACAATCATGTCAAAATAAATTAGTTTTCACTAAAATACATCATTTAAGCTTGTTAAAATTAATGTAGTAGTTAGATGACAACTAATTTTAAGATTATTTTAATAGTTAATTAACATAAATTATTTATAACAAAGAAAAATATTATTAAAAAATAATAAATCGACTTTACCTTTGAATCTTTGTATACTCTATTAGACTTTTGTCTTTAATAATAAGATTATAATACTTATAAATTTATGTTTTAATACATACACAATTTTTTTATTAAGATACTACTAACATGTATTAAATTTTTTTTTTATTATTATTGTATAACTTTGCAAATGCGATAAAATAACAGAACTACAAAATTATCTGACGCGATTATGAGAATTTACATTTATGGCATTGAGGTTTGCTGTCGGTATTACTTGTCCGAAGCAAGACAGAGACACGCAAGCCCCTATGTCGCAGAACAAGCGGCATCCGTTGTATAATCGACACGTGTGACTCATACGTTCGATCCATCGGTGGCACTATCGTAAGCCAGCAACGTAGCAGATACATCCCCCAATCCAATCCACTTAAGGAAATCTAACCACATGCTCCGCAGCCGCACGCCGCACGATGGTTCCGCCACTCACTATCGACCGATCGCATCTCCATCACCACGCTGTTGTCACAGCCAATAACCACGCGCCATGTCCCACACGCACAGTCACCGGCGGGAGTGTGAGAAAGCTTGCAAGACACGATTCTCATTTCTCACACAACAAATCCACACACACACTCTCACTCGTTTCCTTCGCTTCTTCTTCTTCCGTTTCCTAAATCCTCCATAAACCCTAACCGGCTAGCCCCAACAATTTACACTCTCAACCTCGCTTATGATTCATGGAAGACCAACACCGTGCTACCCTCCCTCCCGGTTGCCGGTTCCATCCCTCCGAAGAGCTTCTCCTCCGTTACTACTTAACCAACAAGAACGAAAACCGCGAAGGGGATTTCTACGGTTCTGATTTGATTCGGGAACTGGACCTCTACGGTTACGACCCTTTCGAATTACCGGACGCTGCGTGCTTTTCGTACGGTTACCGAGGGAGGAAGAGGCATTGGTTCTGTTACACCGTTAAGGTGCCTAAGCGCGGTACCAGGAAGGTGAAAAGTGGGTTCTGGCTTCGAAAGGGAAGGGTTCGCGATGTTTTCGGTAACGGTGGAAACGCCGTTTTGGGAACAAGGACACGTTTCGTTTTCTACGTTGGCAATTCCGTAAAAAGCGCTACCAGAACGGATTGGATTTTGTACGAATACGCATTGGTTGACCGTGTTTTGGTACAGATTCTTCAATAATTCATTTACGAAACTTTATTAAAGCCTACACCGATGTGTGATAATTGAATTAATACAAATTAGCGAATAATTAATTAATCCGTAATGATTGTAATGCAGGCTTCATTTGCGCTCTGTCGCGTGTTTAATAAGCCTCATCAGAAGAATAGTCCATCGGAGATTGGTCTCAGTTGTTATGCGGAAGAGAGTGTGTCCGCGGTGCGTCATGTTGGGGTTCAGTGTGATGGATATGTTAGAAGTGATGTTGTTGAAGCTATTGTGTGTGATGATAACAGAAAGAATGAGATCACTGAGCTTCCAATTAGGTGTGGTGGTGAACATGATGATAGTGCCGCGCTACCAGTTTCCGTTGTTCAGGGTAGTCAACAGGTAAATTCAACTTTGGTATTGATCTCTTGTATTATTTTGTTTTCACGAGTGTGTGACTTAGGAAGCTTGTGTTTAGCGTATTGGAAAAATATAACAAACTTTGAGGTTAAAAAGTGGAACATTTTGTTTCTACGAAAGAGGTGCAATGGAAGAGAATAAAACAAAATCGTTCCATTTCATTTAAGGACAAAATCTGGAGTTTCCCAACTTGTTCTCATGCTGTGGTCGGCGTCAAAGGTTTAAACTAGTTATCTTGTTGCAATTTCAATTTTAATTGAAGATCAACACCAAAAGCACTTATGTTACTGCAAGTATTATCCTTCATTTTATTGTGTTCTGTATATGCACTAAACATTAGCTTAGTGAGCTCTGAGAAAGCATTATTACTGCTTGTTTACTTTTTTTGTGTTTCCTTTTTGTTCTCATGCTGCATCTATATTTGACTTACTGCTGGGAAGACTTTGTGCATTTGTAGGTATTGTGGTTGAAGCAAATAGTTCTTTTGCAATTGTTAAATTATGTTTGGTTTTGCACGCTGTCAGCTGCAAACTCTTCAGCAATAACCTGAAAAGTTTAATCAGAATTAGGGCTATTATCAATATTGGAAGCCGGTCAATTCATGTTGAATATTTGTTGCAACCATGTTTTTTAAATTTGGAAAATCTTACAACTCATTCATGTGGTGGTCTTTCTTTGATTGCATGTGCTTCTTCAGTAATGATATCATTTTTACTATTGGATGTAACGTTTTAACATTTAAGCTTCTAATTATTCTGTCACGGTATGGCATTAAAATTTCAACACTTGGGAACTGGAAATAGGCACATATATCTTCTTTTATAAATGTTATGTGAAAATTGCGTGATCTTCTGCTCTTCTGAAGGAGGAAAACACATTTACTGGTTGGCAGAAACTCTGCATGTACCAATTGAATAGTTAACGTTGGTACTTGTTATTCCATCATTGCTTACAATATATCCTATCTATTTAGTTTAGCATATTCTTTTGTCGTTGCACCTTCATTTCATTTTATAGGGGAGAAAAGAAAGTATTGCTAAAGCATCATATTCTTTTGTTTGCTGTTGATGGTAATCAGGAAAGGCTCTGTGGACTTCCTGGTGGCAGTGCATTTTTCATTGAAGCTGTGACATCTCAACAACTACTTTCCATTCTAGAGGAGGAGGATTTCATTGAATTGAATGATATTGCATGAATTGATTTAAGAGATATATGCATTCTAATGCTGCTCTCAGGAGTATTTATCACCTGAAACAACTGTATTCAGAATGGGGTAATGCCCCCGCTACTGAGGAGAAAGATTTATGATACTGCGTAAACTTTTTCCACTCGAAGAAACATGTCAGAGGGGTTGAGGCATATGTCATGGAACAATCACTTCGCATGTTAAGGTAGTTACTATAGATCTTTGTATGTTACACTCTTGAGCCCTACTTAAGGAAATATTCAGTAGATCTTCTTTGTTTTGAGCATGCAGATTTTCTCCTGTGCCTAATGAAAGGCAATTGGCTCCAGAGGAATAGAGTTAGAGTTAGATATTGGTATTGGTATTGGTAATTGCAACATGCAATTTACTCTAGTATGCTGTGGGCAACATCATCTTACTTCACGCTGTCATTGTTCACTTGACAGTATATTTAAATTTTATTTAGCATTCCTGGGACCATCCGAATTTCCTATCTGCCCCATATTGGCAAGGCCTATTCGTTACTGTCTGTGCTACTTTCTTTTTTCTAAACTTGTTCAAGAGGCAAATCAGATGAATTCCAAACTAAGGATTTTTGTAAGTGTTATTATATAACAGTAGCTTATGAATTGCCTTAACCTTTGTATTACTTCTTTGGTTAGCTTACTAATTTTATGTTCTTCTTGGTATTAGGTATTCTATACTGTAATATGTTACTATGCCATATATGGTGGTTTTTTACATTTGGGTTTGTGTAGTTTTTGTTAAGAATAACAATGATGCTTATGCCTTTGCACGTGGCCGTGGCACAAGTTCTATCAAATTATGTGTGTATTCACATTTGGTGTAAACTGGGCGGTGGAGAGGAGGGGAGAGGACAAATTCCACTTGCTTACCCAGTAAAGTCCCATTTTAGCCCTTCAGATTGTGTTGCTCACTTTAATCTTTGACTTTACACAATCTTCACTTTAATTTCTAATTTTACAAAATATTTATTTTTGTCCTTTGTAATACAAAATGACAGTAAAAAATTTGTTGAAAAATGACTAAAATGATTTTTTTTTTTATTACAATGATCGATACTTATAATTTTAGGAACTAAAATAAGGATTTACTCTGTCCATATTTCATTTTTATGTGTGTTCTAAGTAATTGTTTTCAATTTATTGCTACATGTGTGGTATGACTATTCTGTGGAAAGCCAATTTTGTTCGCCCTCTTTTTTTTGGCTAAAATGTTGGATCTAAAATGTATCTGAATCGGTTTAAATTCCACTTGATTTTTGTGTGCTATGAAAAAGTTCTGAAAACTAGTTATCAGTACATGATGTACATCAATGATCATTTATCTTTTGGAATCTTGTTTTCTTCTGTGTCTATGAAATTATTTAATGTGAGAGCAATGCTGGGAACACGCGCATCTTGATTCACTTTTTTTAGCGGGCCTGACAGATTTTATCTGATAATAAAAAATATGTTGTGAAGAGTGTGTCGCTAGTTGATGTCTATTTGGGAGCTGTGCAGTTCACATATGTTTTGCTTTGAAATGTGCAATTAATGTACTAATATTTGAGAGTTCATATTTGTTTGGTGTTGTGTGCTATTTGCTTTAACTTCAAGTCTCATTCGAAGGTTTCAGAAAATTCATGGTTCCATGAGATCCTGTTTGTGCGTAGATGTTATTTTATTTAAACATATATCCTCTACCTTCAGTAAAGACATCAAGATTTTGGGCATACTTTGATTGTTGGATCAAAATTCTTTCTTTTACACAAAGCATGGGGGATTGCGTCGTGGGCCTGTCAAGTTTGGCACCACCTATGTAGAAATAATTTTTGTTGGGTGGCTCGATGTAATCCACAAAAGTAGTGATTGCGTGAACATATTGAAGCGCTTTATTTGTGTGAATAATGCCAATGTTGGCTTGATCCGTCAGGCCGTCCCAGTGGAACGTTTTAAGTATTTTACTTGTGTGATGCGAAGGTGAAATGGCTTATATTTTGTTCTACTTAAACACCACTCTGCTAAAGTTGTTCACGGGTCCAATTCACAGTAAGGATGGGAAGCTTTGCAGTACTCCCCGCCCTTTACCCATCATAAAAATAATTAACAAGCAAGTTGTACAAATGGACGCTATGAATGAAATTGATAGTTTCAGGAGTTTCAACTTCCAAGCTCTAGGAAAAGCTTATAGTTTATTTGACTTCTCGAGCTTAGATTCAATTCAAATGCTCTGATGCTTGAGGAGTGACTTTTGTTGAATGAAATGAATGCATCTTAAGTTCAAGTTGCGTCCTATTGTGTTTTCCAAGAAAGCCAACAAATCAGGGTAGGTGCCTCGTATTTTCAGGTACTTATACCCGGTTCTGTAATTTTAGTCAACAAAATTAGCTGGCCTCCTCTCTTTTCTCTGGGGTTGTCCTCATATCATTTAGGTGTTTTTCCTCTTCCAAATGTTGTTTAAAAAATTGTAATTTAATCTTATAGTTATAATTTAAAAAACAGTGTCAGTTTACAAATGGATCTAAAATCTAGTGTCAGGTTCAACTAAGCCCTATTACTGAATGACCGTAATTCACTTTAAAACAATCTGAATAATTTACAATATTTGAAATAAGAAAAAAAGATATTGGAGCTACCGCTAAAAATTAGGAGGAGCCAAACTTTAAATTGTCTAAAATCTCGAGTAGGAAAGTTTTTTAAAAGATGATTTTATTTTTAAAAATTCCTTATAAAGTAAAGAGTTTTTTTTTTTATTAATTTGAAAAGCAACTGTTCCAAATGGTAATACAAAACCTTAACATGATTTCCATTTTTGTTAAGATCTTTATGAGTATTTTACTTATGTAAGCACATATCTGCTCGAAAATAAAGTTACAAATTGTTAAATCAGAATCTGGGACATAGTAATCTTGACGTGTTACAATATATTTTGTTTGACGAGAGTTATAAATTTAAAAATAATTTTTTAATTAAGGTTTTTTAGCTAAAACATTATAATTTTAAATAATATATATCTAAATTGCTACGCTACACACACGAAATTTTTCACGTATCTCACCAACATCTCATTACAATTATTCACTTTTTTTTCTTTCTCTCACTTTTCTCTTCTTACATCAATTATTCACATTCCTTTTGGAGGGGTAATGAGAAAATATTTTTGTGCCAAAAACTATATCAAAACAAAGGACTCACCTGGGCATGTACACAGCCGTGTACATGATCGTGTACATCACTGCCTCAACAATATCAAAAGAAAATAAAAGTACATGGGCGTGTAACTGAGCATGTACATCTCTGCCCAACCTATGTCTAAGCAAAATAAAAGTACATGGATGTGTATTTGGCCGTGTACATCACTGCCTAACAGAAATAACATGAAATACAAATACACGTACATGGTCGTGTATATGGAGGTGTATCTTACTGCTCCCTTTTTTCTTTTTATAAATAATTGAACAGATAAATAACTAAATTAAAATAAAATAAACCTATATAACCTAAACTATTAAATGTAATTTAGCATTCAACATAGAGGGGTTTAAACTCCTCATTTGCAAAAGTTTGAAATTGACCCCTTGATACAGTTTTAGCCTATGTCCATTCAGTTTTAGCCTATGTACCATAAAAAAATACCTCATGCATAGTGAACGGTCCAAACCAATGGGATTTGAGTTTCTCTGAAAATAATTTGAGGTGAGAGTTGTACAATAGTACCAAATCACCCTTTTTGAAATAGTTTACCTCCCTTGATTTTTTTTATCATGGTAAACATTCATTCTTTCCTTGTAGATCCTGAAGTTTTCATAGGCTTCCATGTGCCATTCTTCCAATTCATTCAATTGCATCATCCGCTTGTTACCTGTATGATTAAGATCCATATTCAGAGATTTGATTGCCCAAAATGCGCTATGTTTTAATTCAACTGGGAGATGACAGGCTTTACCAAACACAAGTCTATATGGTGTAGCGTCTATGGGAGTTTTAAAAGCTATCCTAATAGCCCACAAGGTATCATCTAACTTATCAGCTCAGTTCTTCTTATTCTTCTCTACTGTTTTTTCTAACACTCTTTTCAACTCCCTATTAGCTACTTCAACTTGGTCACTTGTTTGAGGGTGATATGGGGTAAAAATTTTATGGGTGACTCCATATTTATTTAGAATTTTTTCAAGTTGTGTATTGTAAAAATGTGTACCTCCTATCACTAATTAAAGCTCTTGATGTGCCAAATCATGAAAATAGCTTTTTAAGGAACCTAGTGACTACTCTTGCATCATTAGTAGGTAAAGTTTGTGTCTCTACCCATTTGGACAGATAATCAATAGCCACTAAAATGTATTTATTCCCTTTTGAACTAGGAAAGGGTCCCATAAAATCTATCCCCTAAACATAAAAAATTTCATAAGTTAAGATATAATTATAAGACATTTCATTTTTTTGAGAGATATTACATGATTTCTGGCAATTATCACATAACTCAACATACTTGTGAACATCCTTAAAAATAGAAGGTCATTAAAATCTGGATTTTAACACCTTTTTAGCTGTCCTACTTCCAGAATGATGACCTCCAGCAGGTTTAGTGTGACAATGTCCTAAAATTTTCCATCCTTCAGAGTGTGATACATACCTTCTAATAACCTAGTTTGCACAAATTCAGAACAGATATTGGTCCTCCTAAAAGTAGTATTTCAAATCAGAAAAAAATTTCTTCTTTTGTTGATTTGAAAACTCTTGTAGTAAAACCTTAGGAACCAAATAGTTAGCAAAATCTGCAAATCATGAAAAATAAAAATCAGAATCAGTTACCACATTATACAAGTGTTCTTCTAGATATTTGTTATTAATACTCTTTTCATCTAATTCCTCCATACTGGGATTTTCCAGCCTTGATAAATGATCAGCAGCCAAATTTTCTGAACCTTTCTTATCCTTGATTTCCAAGTCGAATTCCTACAGCAACAAGACCCACCTCATTATTCTAGGCTTTGCATCAGTTTTGTTTAGCAAATAACATAATGCAGAATTATTAGTATACACTATAACTTTAGAAAGAATTAAATATTGGTGAAATTTATCAAATGCACACACCACAACCAATAATTCTTTCTCTCTTGTAGTGTAATTCTCTTGAGCACTTGTTAGGGTCTTGCTGGTATAATAAATGGGCTGAAAATGTTTGTCTTTTCTCTGGTCAAGTACAGCTCCCACAGCGTAGTCGCTTGCATCGCATATCAACTCAAATGGATAGTTCCAATTGGGACCACACAAAATAGAAGCTTGGGTTAGTTTCCCTTTGAGTAGCTCGAAAGCAATCAAACACTCCTCATTAAAAATAAAAGAATTTTTCTTTTCTAAAAGTCTGGTCAGAGGTTTGGTGATCTTGGAGAAATCCTTAATAAATCTCTTATAGAATCCTGCATGGCCTAAGAAGCTCCAAACTGCATTAACAGAAGTAGAAGGCGATAGCTTCTCAATTGTGTTAATCTTTGCCTTATCTACCTCAATTCTCCTACAGGAAATTTTATGACCAAGTACAATACCCTTTTGCACCATAAAATAACACTTCTCTCAATTAAGCACTAAATTGGTTTCTTCACATCTTCGAAGTACCCTTGACAAATTTTTTAAACAATGAGAGAATGAGTCACCAAAGACTAAGAAATCATCCATGTATACCTCTATTATGTCCTCTATCATCTCATAAAAAATAGCTATCACGCACCGCTGAAAAGTTGTCGGTGCATTGCACAACCCGAACGACATCTAGCAGTAGGCAAATATTTCATATAGGCATGTGAAGGTCGTTTTCTCTTGATCTTCCAGTGCTATTGAGATTTAGAAATATCCTAAGAGCCCATCCATGAAACAGTAAAACATATGGCCTGAAAGACACTCCAACAATTGGTCAATGAATGGGAGAGGGAAGTGGTATTTCCTTGTTGCATCATTCCATTTTTGGTAGTCAATACAAACCCTCCATCCAGTGACAGTCCTAGTAGGCACCAACTCATTTTTTTCATTGGGCACTACAGTCATTCCTCCTTTCTTTGAAACGACTTGCACCGGACTTACCTAAGGACTATTCGAGATGGGATATATCATTTCGGCATCAAGTAGCTTAATCACTTTAGCCTTCACCACTTCCTTCATATTTGAGTTTAGCCTTCTTTGTGGTTGCACTACAGCCTTAAAATTAGACTTCATCAATATCTTGTGAGTGCAGAAGGAAGGACTAATCTCTCTTATGTCAGAGATCTTCCATGCTATTGCTTTCTTGTGTTCCTAAAGTACATTCAGCAGTTGGGCTTTTTATTCTTGTGTTAAGTCTAAAGCAATAATAACCAGTAACTTGTAACCATCCTCCAAAAAAGCATACTCCAAGTATTCAGGTAAAACTTTTAATTCTATATCTGGTGGTTCATTAGTGGATGGGTTGGGTTGCTTCTCTGAATCTCACTCCAAAACTTCAAAGTCCCTCTTTCTTAATAATGACTTAGTGGTTTCTAAATGACACCACTGTTCTTGAGTTAACAAGCTCATATCATCTTTTCCTTCTTTATGAACTAAACTTCTTTCCAATGGGTTTGAAATTAAGAATTTTTGTGCACAATCAGAAACAAAATCATCAATTACATTAACAAAATAGCGAGAATCGTCTTGTTTCAAAGATTTTTTCATTACATCAGGAATTTTGAAAGTGACTTTTTCATTTCCAACTCTCAAAATTAACTTTTCATCACTCACATCAATTATAGCCTTTGCAGTAGCTAAAAATGGACGACCTAAGATCAAAAGAACTTCAGTGTCCTCGTTTATATCAAGAATCACAAAATTAACAGGAAAAATGAATTTGTTCACTTTTACAAGCACATCCTCGATGATACCCCTAGGATATTTAATTGACCTATCAGCTAGTTGAATACTCATCATAATTGGCTTAAGTTTCTCCAAACCCAATTTCTTAAAGACAGAATATGATATCAAATTAATGCTAGCACCTAAATCAGCCAAAACCCTATTAACTATCAATCTACAAATGAGACAAGAAAGAGTAAACTCCCTAGATCCTTCAATTTCTCGGGCATCTTGTTTTGTAGAATTGCTGAACATTCTTCATTCAGAGTTACCGTGACCAACTCTTCCAACTTCTTCTTGTTGGACAATAGATCTTTCAGAAATTTGGCATACTTGGGCATCTGTGCCAGAGCATTAACAAACAATAAATTGATATGAAGTTGACGAAATAAGGAAAATTTTTTTACCAAATTGTTCATCATCTTTGTCTTTCTTCAATCTTGCTGGGTAGGGAAGTTGAGGTATAAATTCCTTCACTGTAGGGGGCTTGTCCATAATCTCTTCTTGACATTTATCCTCCTCTTCAACTGTAGTTTTTTTTTGCTTCTTACTTCCCCTTCTCTTGTAATGTTTTGTTACTCCTTAATGTAACTACCTTAACCTACTCCTTAGGATTAGTCTTAGTATTGCTAGGCAAGCTTCCTTGGGGTCTTTCTGAGAGGAGTCTAGAAGTTTGACCTAGCTGATTTTCTAGATTATAGATAGAGGCTTGTTGATTTCTTAGTTCTGTCTCGGTGGATTAAAACTGAGATTTTGAAGTTTGATTGAATTTAGTCATTAACTCCTCAAAGTTTGACTTCTTTTCATCTGGGGGTGATGGTGGATGTGAAGCTTGTTAAAATCTTGAGAGTGTGTTGTTCTGCATTAGTTGTTGGTTGTTGTTCCATGGTGTGTTTGCATAATTTCTCCAGCCCGAATTATGCATGCCATTATAATTTTGGTAAGGTGGTCTATTTCTTATCATATTGGCATGCTCTTCTTGAGTAGCTTGACACTCATGATTAGGATGGCCTCCTCCACAAATATCACATCTTATCACTGGAGCAACTGTATGATTAACAGATAAACTATCAATCTTCTTTCCTAAAGCTTCAACTTGCATTGCTAAGGATGTTACTGCATCAAGACTATAAATCCCAACAAATTTTGTAGGTTTAGATCGAGTGGAGCTCCACTAGTAGTTGTCATTGCCATTTCTTCAAACAGTTCTTATGCAGCCCTTGGTGTCTTGCTATTTAAAGTTTTTCCAGTTGTACCATTTATCATTTGTCTTGTGGTTATGTTCAATCCATTGTAGAATGTTTGCACTTAAAGCCAGTCAGGAATCCCATGACGTGGGCACTTCCTTAACAATTCCTTAAACCTCTCCTACGTATCATACAAAGTCTCTGACTCTAATTGGTAAAAGGAAGAGATATTATTCCTCATCTTGGTAGTCTTTGCGGGAGGGAAATACTTTACTAAGAACTTTTCTGCCATAGCCTCCTATGAAGTGATAGATCCTCGTGGGAGAGAGTTTAACCATTATTTTGCTCTACTCTTGAGAAAAAATGGAAATAGCCTCAAGCAGATTGTATCATTAGTAGCTCCATTAATCTTGAAAGTATCACAGATCTCCAAAAAACTAACGAGCCCATCAAATTAAACAAACTGTTGAACCATCTGAATAACATTGGACTTTATTTCAAAATTTTCCTGCACATCCGGACGAACAATGCTAGATTTTGTCCTAGTTAATGATGGATGAGCATAATCGGACATGGTCCTTGTTTGATCTTCATTGTTTGTCATTCCTTCCATATGGTTTTGTGCATTTTCCCTCTGTACTAGTAGTTGTCTCTCTTTCCAAATTTTTTGCAAAGTTTTCTCTATTTCTGGGTCGAGTTCAAGTAGTGCAGCAAAACGGGTTTTGGTCATGTACCAGAAAAATTAGCTCCTAAAAAGAATGAAAGTAAATTAGAAAAGTTAATTCAAGACTAAGGAAATCAAGAAAATTATTAAAGACAAACAAGAAAATCCTAATTAACTAGTCCCCGGCAACGGCCCAAAAAACTTGATGTGTAAAATTCGATTACTAGGCAAGTGCACCTATTGTCAGAGTAATATTGCGAAAAATAGAGTACTAAGTGTCGTATCCACAAGGACTGTTACTAAGAATTGCTTACTTGATTACCCAATTGTTAATGAATATGAGCAAGATATTATGTTGATAAATTTGCTGAACTAAGAAAATAACAAATTAAAAGGAATATATTTATATGATAATAAAATCTAGAAAAGTAAGACTAAGTGTATTCAAGAGAAATAAGTAAGTATCTAGATTGTAAATTCTCCTAAATGTCTAAATAACTGAGATTCTCCTTCAACTACTTAGTTCTAGTCTCTTGTTGCTATATGAATTCCTAAAATAAAGCAATACCTTTCTCAAGGATAATGGTTCATAACCTTTAGTTGATTAATCATAATCTCTTCATGAATTAGTTCCCCTAGGTTGCATTAAGTTTATTATGAATTTCATAATTAGGGTTATTCCTAATACAAAAAACTTATGTCTTTCTATCTCTAGAAATACATTTAAGTCCTTTTAATTGAGCAATAATAATTTTATGCAGATTTTTACTCAAAATCAAACAAGAAAATAAGATAGAAAATAATTGATACTATTCAATTAAACTCAAGAGAAGAAAACATGAGAAAACATTAAGAAGAATTCCAGAAGGTTTGGTCACATAAGATTCATTACGTCTAGATACTCAAAGAAAAATTAAAACCTAAACATGTCGAAACTACAATCACAAAGGAAAGAAATTAAAGATTTTGATTGCATCCTTCCAACGTCACTAACTCTTTCTTTCCCACAAACGGCGTTCTCTCAAGTTTTTGTGCCAAGTTTTCTTTTATATGAGTGGTCCCAGGGCTCATCTTATCACAGAAGTTTAATTTTGACGTAAGTTAAAAGTACATGCCCCATGTATATGGTCATGTACTTTGACCGTGTACATATTTGGTCTCTAAAATTTGCCCTTGAAAGTTTTTCTGAAAAGTACACGCTTATATACACGATCATGTACTTTGACCGTGTACATCTTTGGTTTTGATGATGTACTTCAATTGACCTGACTAGTAAGATACATGCTCATATACATGGTGTGTACTTGCCCATGTATGTCTCTGTCTCTGATTATGTGATTGATTGATGCAACCAGTGAGATACACGCTCATGTACACAGGCATGTACCTGCCTGTGTATATTTTTGATTTTTTCTTGCTTCAATTTCTAATATTCTTTAAGCTCTCATTTCTTGATCTTTTTTCTTGAAATATGAATAAAATGTACTCAAAAATCACAATTATCATTCATAAATTACATTTTAGAATTAAGTATAGAAGGCATTTATCAAGGAGTAATGAAAAAATATTTCTGTGCCAAAAAGTTCCTATAACAAAAAGTATAACTTGTCTTTTTGTCAGTATTTGGATGTGATTAAAATTATTTTTACAGTAATAAATCAAGCTAACATTTTATTATATTCTCTTATTTTTAAAGTCTTTATTAATTACAATTCAGTACTCCAATAACATAAAAAGTTAACTTAAGCTCTAAAGTTTTGATTATTCTAATTAAAAATGACAATAAGATAGTATTTGCATACAATTCAAGAAAATTTTTTTATGTTAAAATGATATTTGTATCTATATTATATTTCTAAACTTATTTCACTAAAAATTGTCACATGGAATTTATTTTCTTATTTTTAAACTTTTGAACTCTTTCAATAAAAACACTAATTGTATTTTTTTTTACGTATTTTCCATTTTCTATTTTTTGATTTATTACTTTATTTATTTTTATAGGTTTTACATTTGTAACCTTTTATTTCTTATTAAATACTTTATGATTTTAACTTATTACATTGATATTAAGTAATTTTTATGCATGAAATAAATGATTTAATAATATCATTAATAATATAATATCTATCTATATAATAAAGACCTTTTGTTAAAAATGTCTTGTGATATTTTTTATTTTTAAATTAATAAATTTTAATATTTTTTATTAAACATATACTTAATATAAATAAAAAATAATATTATTAATACTGATATATTATAAACTCATACGGGTATATCTAAGTATTGTAATAAAGTTGGTAATATGTTATGATTTTAAAACCTATATCATACTCATTGTTAATGATATTCTATTTAAATAACATATGGTACGCATACTGTCATGAATTATATGTATTCTTCCTATGCTATTTTCCTTTTTTTTTTAAATGTTTTTAAAAATTATAAATATATGTATAATTTGAGATTTTATCCTTTTCTTTCAATATGGCTTTGATTTTTTTATAAGTGTTTTTAAATTATTGAATATAAGATATCTTTATACAAACAAAATATAATTATCATAAAAAATAATTAAAATATTTAATAATTTAATAATTTTATAAAATTAAATTGAAAAAAATAAAAAAATAAAAATTTTATAATATGAAAATATTTATAATTAATGCTTAAATAATATTTTAAAAATTATTTATAAAATTATATAAAAATTATTATAATTATTTAATAATTATCAATAACACATAAAAATTTGAATATATGTAATCTAATTTAATAATAAAATAATTATATTTTTATTAATATTCTCCAATAACAACAATTATTATAAATTTTTAATATTATATAAATTTTATTTTATTTTTATCTTTTCTTAAGCAATTTTATTAGTATAAAATTTGTAATAAAAAATTTCATTGATTGTATTCACTACATCACAACAAATCACAAACCTATCATAACCACATACCTCTGAGTCAAAGTTGCTATCGCACTTATTTTTTATTCTTGTTTTATTAAATATAAATATAAAGTAAATTATTATATTTATTTGAAAAGGTTGAAGAGCAGCAAAGTTTTCGAATAAGATTAAAATACAATTAAAATTAAAGAAACTAATATTTAAAAATAAAAAATAATATTATATTAATTTATTTTTTATCTTCTTAATTTTATTATTATTAATATTTAATTATTATATTAATATATTATGTTATAATTTTTTATTTATAATAAATAAAAATTATATTATATTCAAAACTAAAAATATTTATATACGATTACATGTGTTTAAAAAATAAATTTATTTAATCATAAATTATTATATTTATTATATTTAAACAAGTTAAAGAAGAATAAGACACGATCAAAACTAAACGAATTAAAATTTAAAAATAAAATATTAATATTTTTTATTAAATTTTTTATATTTTTAATTTTATTATTATGAATATTTAATTATTATATTAATATATTATGTTATAATTTTTTATATTTATAATAAATTAAAATTACTTAAATTTAAATTATATTTTATTTGAAAGAAAAAATTTATAAAAAATGATAAGAAAATAAAATAAAAAATTTATTATTATAATATATATATATATATATATATATATATAATCAGACTATATAGCAAATAATATAAATAATATAATTATAAATAAATTATATAATAATATATATTTTTGTAACTTCTACATGTTTTAATTAAATTATTATTAGTTAATTTATCAATTTATATGTAATATATAAGTATATATTTTAATTTATTATATCAGTAATATTTTCTATATTACATTAATATTATAATGTAGTTAATTTTATGTTTATTTGTTAATTTAAAATAACAAATTAATGAAACAAATAAAATTAAATATTTTGTAATTATTTTTTAATTTAATAGTTATTGTTATTATCATTATATATAGATTGCATTAAGTTTAAATTTATTTATTTTTTAAAACATAATAATTTTCTTTTAAGTGATTCAACAAATGTTATTTTTTTTTATCAATTTTATGCGTTTACTATAACTTTATTTGTTGAATATAAGATGTCTTTAAATAAATAAAATATATTTTTAAAATAAAATTAAAATATTTACTATTTATATAATTTTTAAAAAATAAATTAAGAAAAATATAAATATAAATTTTTTTAATATAAAATATTTATAATTAATACTTAAATAACATTTTAAAAATTATTTATAAAATTATATAAATATTATTATAATTATTTAATAATTATTAATAACATAGATAGAAATTAAAAAAAAATATAAACTAATTTGATAATAAAATATTTATATTTTTATTAATATTAATTTTTTTTTGTAACAATCTTTGTTAGCAGGCTTCAAGTTAGGCCATATTACTTAAACAGGTCAGGCCAAGCCTAAAATAAAGTCTTTAACAGGTAACAGGTTAAACTAAGACCTAATAATCATGTTACAGGTGAAGCTTGTTTAGAGTAAAGCCTAACCTGACCTGATATATTTTCATCCCTAATAGAAGGTGTAAATCTCAAAATAGAAAGAAAAAGGTTTAGACACATTGTTTAAAAATTCCTTGCATCAAGACAACTTTAGAATAATAACGAACAAAGTTTGTGGATGCATAAATGGGAGAAAAATGTTGCTGGAGGATATGATCAATAATCTGATGTTAATGTAAGTACACAAGTTGTACTAGACCTCTATAAATTATATTGATTTATATTTTTGTCACTCTTATTCTTTTCTTAAATTACATAATTTGCCGTAATATTGCAAACTAATCAATAACAATCATATCTAGAATTATAAGTGCCCAATTGATTTTTGTCAATTTATTTAAAATTTTTCACTGTTCTTATGTGTCTGTAACCTACAGGTGCCTCAAAATCTTGAATTTACCACCTAACCAGTAGTCACAAGTTTGATCATTATTTTGTTTTGTAGTGCGACTTGTAATAATTTATATGAATTAAGGTCAAACTACTCGTTGCTAGGGCGTCATGACTCATGATCCCTCTTATGCCTCCATATTTTTTGGTTTATTTTTATTTTTCAATCGAAATTCTATTTCGTTGCTGAATTTTGGTATATAGCTTTGAAATATTGTTTTGTTTTATTGTACGTCAAAGGAGACAGTAGCTTGAATTATTAGCAACAAGAATGCTTTGGGAAGTGATATTGAGTAGTGCAAGCTGTTTGATGCTATACTTTACATGTGGTTGTGGAACTTCGGGCATTTATTCTCATTTTTCAGGCACATTGGGACAAATAGGGAGGGTGACTTCAATTTTTTAGAGTTGGGCTGATTAATGATGACCATTTTCTTTCAAAGAAAAATCGTTTTTATCTTTGAAATTTGGTAGACATGAAGCAATCTTGATCTCAAATGTTATTTTATCGATTAATCCTTTTCTCATTTGTAATTATAAGCTATCCCTTTGTCTTTTTTTCTCAAATTTTGTCATTGACCCAATCTTTGTTTTTTCTTTTGCTTTCCTTTTTGTTATGAGGAGGGGAAAGAGGCCAAGTTAGGCATAAAAAGAAGAAAAGTACTAAACCTAATTTGAAAGGCATCAAATTTGAAATTTCAACGAAGTTCTGTTTTGTTAACGCTTGATGTCCCATCGTAATGGCTAATGCTTTAACCCCCTTGACTCTTTCGGTCTTTTATTTTTATTATTATAATCAAGTTATATTTTTATCAGGGAATTATCTTTTTCTCTTAGTCAACTCTTGTGTTCATAAAGTAGAATTGTAAAGTTGGAGGCAATTCAATTTGGATTGAAACATGCAATTATCTACAATGGATTAATTTCTCCTTATGCGTTGGTTTATAACTTGTTTTCTTTATATTATCATTCGGCAACATATGTCATTTTGCAACTTTTGAACTAAAAAATATATTCAATACTGTATAATTATTACTTTAATGAGTTTAATTCAAAATATTTTACTCAATTTTAACTGTTAAGTTAATTCTGCTGAAATTTACGGTAACATAATGTTTGATGTTAGTATATACAAGTATATTATATTTTACTTGTAGTTATATATTTATTTAAATTTGATAAATTAATAAATATTCTTTTAATAATAAAATCAAGACACATTGTCAGCTGTGCGGAGTATATACGGTTATTTTTTCTTCCTAAACTTTAAGGGTGTCGGTGAAATCTTGATTCTGCAATGAGTCATTATACAATTAATTTTTCATGAGAAAATATATGCAACAATAATGTAAAATCTGTACAAAATCAACATTATATAAATAATTAGAGCAAAAGCAAAAAGTCTTAGTAAAATGATATGCATATGCATAGAGATTATTATTTGTCATTTTAAGAGTAAGTTTTACATTACAATAATCTACATAAGGTTCCAGAAACGTCAGAATCATGGAAAACTTTAGATATTCGTTTATGGAGATCCATATGCTATTCAATTAATGGTTCTGTAGTTTTTCAAAGGGGCCATCACGAGTTGAGTCGTGAATCAAAGCTAACCAAATGGATAGAGAAGAGGTTGATTTAATGGGCAAAACAATATAATAAAAAAATAATAAAAACTAGCTAGTGGTAGTGGAGACAGATGGAAAGCAAAGTAACCCCGTTTAGAAGGGTTAGAGAAGAAGGCAGTGGGAGAAAGGAAGCACACAAAGATGACCCAAGTTCATAAAGAATAAAATAAAATGCCCCACGATAGGAGCAATGTCACACACCCTTTAAAGAAGATTAGAATCCGATATATAGTTGATGGAGTTGAAGTCTTTTTAGGGAAAAACAAGAAAAATAAATTCAAGAGAAGGAAAAGAGGTTATGGTGGTGGAACATGCAATTGCAAAGGTACTTGGGGGGCTTTTAGGTCCATGCCTTCACACCTCTTTAAAGCAAAGTAAAATTGATAGATAAATTGGTTGCATCCTCAAACACCCAAAAGCTACAGCTCCATCATCACAATCCACACAACCACACCACGCAGGCATACATTAACACTTTTGCTAAGTTCCACCTAAAATTGTACCGACACAAAATTTAGGGACCCTAGGATGTTTCACATTTGGTCATTTTTATTTACTATTCAACCCAAGTAATTTCTTCACCCAACCAAAACGAGGGGTATATCATTATCTTATGTGGGGAGAAAGACAAAAGACAAAAAGACCCATAAATAGCTAGTCAAAATTCATACAAGCGAGCACCAAGATTTTGGGCACAACAAATAGAGAAAGAGGAAAAAATGCAAGTCATTTGGGTGTGGACCCTAGATATTATAACTAAAGCCACGTGCACTACTATTTATTCATTTATTTTTATATACCAAACCAAGTCACAAGAGGAGGAAATAAAACAGAAGAAAAGAGGAAGGAGCATGTGAGTACAAGTGTGAACAGGATGGTTAAAAAGATTAGAGGTTGGTGCTTGGCGTGTAGAAGATGTAACCACATTAAGGGTGAAGTTGGAGAGGTTTTTGTCTGATTTGAGCGTTTTAATATTACTACTGCTACTGTTATTATTAAAAATGTAACGCATAACATGGCACAATTATAAGTTGTTGAATTAAAAAATAATATAAATAAATTAAATATAGTTGAAAAAATACTTAAAATAATACCGTGCTATTATATTTATTAAAAAAAATGGGGAAGTGGGAGGTGTGTTGGCAACCCTGGTCATTTATTAGCATTATGTTATTTCGTTGTGTTTGGGGACAGAGAACAGAGGGAGATGATGCATTTGTTAATTTCATGGAGAAAAATCAGAAGAAACAAGGACCCATGCAAACATCACCCATTTGGTAAGCTGCCAAAAAGGGGCAGCAGGCACACCCTTTCAACCTCTAGCCACATTACCAATTACTTAATAAATAATACAATCACCAATTACCATCAGTAATAATTTTTCTTAATACAAAAAATAATAAATTATTTATTAATAGTTAATATCATTCATGTCTTTGTTGGAAGGGAAGCTGCTGTCTCCACCTCCAAGGCTATGACTTTTGCTCTCTCTCTCTCTCTCTCTTCTCTATTGGGCTGTTTTTGTAAATTGAAGATTACTACCCTCTTTAATCTCTCCTCACATTTCTCATTTTTTTGATATCATTCTTCTTCAACCTCCACCAACAGCAAAACCCTCTTTTTTCTTCTCTTCTCTTCCTTTTCATTTCTCACTGTTTCTTCTTCCCCCTCTTTGTTTTTTCCCTCCCCAAGTGTGGAAAGGGGAACAATAAAAGAGAGAAGAAAAAGCACAACAAAACATGGGTTGGGGTGTTCTCTTTGTTTTCTTATTCTCTCAGCTAATAACCCTTTGATTCTTTTTTCTCATAGATCGGCCTTGTTTCATTTTCTTCCTGTAAGTTTCCTATACCCTTTTCTTCTTTCTCCTTTGGTTTGATGAGTCTATGGTTTGCTAGGATTCTGAAGCTATAAAGTTTGAATTTTTCTGGGTTTTGTTTTTGTTTTTGGGTGTTTGATTGGATTTTCAACTTTTTGGAAATTATTTTGGGCTGTGTATATTTTGCCTGATATATTGCATGTTTTTTTTCAATCCTGTCTCGAATTTTTTAATCCAAACTGGTTTTGAATAGTTTTAAACCAAATTTGGTGTTACAATAGTCTTGCTGATCTTGGCAAAAATTTCAGTTTTCCCCCTTTTCTCCCTCTGTTTTGTTCATTATGTTGTGTAAAAAGGAGTTGACTTTATTTTTATGTTTTGGCATAATGTCTCTTTCTTTGGTGGGTGCGTAATTTTCTTTGGTCTTAATTAATTGGTAATGCTGCATTATTGAGTTTTGCACTGCTTAGTTGATAAAAGACGTGTTTGAGTTGTGACGGTGGTTATGATGGTTTTGAGCTTAGGTGCTTAGTTATATATTGATATTACTGATGGCTATGACTTTCTTATGTTAAAGTATTTTTATTTTATTATTTCGTGCCATAATGTAAAACTTGTGTTGACAAAGCACGAGATTCTTGATTGTCAAGCACTGCTGTTGATATACAACAATTTTCTTAAGCAGAGGTTGCTTCGACCTTCTCATTGCTGATTGATTTTTTCAACTTTCAACAGATACTACCAAATGTGTCTTGAGATTGATTAAAATCTTGTATGTTATCACATAATTGGTCTTGACTACTTGGTGCCTTCTTATCATAGTCATTGTAATTCCTGAGACTCTCTTTCAGTGTTTGTGCAAAGAGAATCAATACAAGGCACAAGCTTTTTGTCTTAATTTCTTTAAGAATTTTCAAACTATAATAATAATAATAATAATAATAATAATAATAATTAATAAATAATGCATTATATTTACATTTAATTATTTATTTGTCCTTTCCTTTTTAGGAATTAAAGGGAAAATTCTAAAAATATTAATAACACTCCCTAAATTTAATTATTTTAAGCCTAGTTATTAATTTAGTGGTCCAAGCATAGGAAATGGGTTAGTATTCATTCATGATTTTATTTATGGTCCAACTTAAATAAATGCGTTAATTTTGGATTTTAAAATTATGAGAATAAGCAAATAAAAGTAAAATGTTGTTGCACAAATTTTAAAAACTTAGAATATGATGATTAAGAAAACTATAATGTAGTATGAGAGAGAATTTCTGGGTTGATTTTTTTTTAAAGAATAATGAAGTGTCCATTCACTCACAGCACCCATATACTCTCCTCATGGGTCATGGCCATGAAAATCACCGAAAGAGCCCAACCACCACCAACATCACCAAACAGCAACGTTGACAACACCATAAGCCCAAGGTTGAGCTCTGCTCGCATCAACCCTAGGCCCATTCTGCCTGGGTCCAGTTTTGTGCCCATTTCTCCATCTTTTATTTTATTTTACATTTGTATATCTCATCTCATTTCCCCTCCCTTTCTGATTACTAATTTGGATTAGTCTAAGCGTGTTTTGGGCCACATGCTAGTGTATTTTGCATGGTAATGGGACTGCTGTTTGATCCAAATGGTTCATTGACTAAATATAAAAAAGGGTTTAGTAGGTCCAATAAATGGGTTTACTTTATGAGATTGGGCTTTGTAGGGTTGGGCCATGCAGGTTTAAAACACAATTTTTGTATAATAAAATAAAACTAACAAATAATAAATTATTAGCATTTTCTGTATCTATTTTTGCGTATTGTAATTGTGTAGATTGTTTGATTTCATGCTTTTTGTCTTCTGGATTTTACTTGAATATGTTGCATCTAATTTAAATGTCATAATTTTTCAGTTGTTCTCTAGTCACAGTGCCTTCTAGTATGTTGTGACAACTGCTACTACAACTAAAGGTCTACCAAAGAGATGCACTTGTAACTGGTGCATTATAGATAAAATGTGAATTTTCAAAATTAGGATAATCGTTCCTTTTAAGAGTTCAAATTGGAGATTGAGTGACATAATGCAACTACAACTAATTATTACAAACTGTGTTTATACAATGATCACTATTTTATGTGACTTGCAGCATTTTATTGGTAGTAATTTTTTTTAAGGTATTTCCATTTTCAATGCCTAATGATTACTTTTGGACAGATTTGTTAAACTGGGTGCATGCCTTGCTGCTTTATTTGAAGAATTCCTTTTGTATACTTGACTGTTTCAAGTTGGAAACTTATAGATATCCTAAATGCAAGGACAGAGGGGTACAATTGGTTCCTTGCCTGAAACCTTAGAATTTGATTGTGGATCTACATCAAGTACTGCTACAGTTGATCAGCATATTTTCTGGAATAATATGCGGAATCCTGCTGAAAATCAGTATATACTTTCCCCTGGTGATATAAATCCATCTTACATGAATTCTATAAATCATGAATGGCAGAACATGAGTGGATGGAGCTTAGGTGAGCCTAGTTCCAGTAACACACAAAACAAGGTTAACAACAATGAGCTGAAAAGAGAGCTAGGATTATCATCTTCAATAAGTTCTGGTGCAATTGCTGGTCCGAGACTTGAAGAAAGGCGCTTTGAACCAAACAATACTTTTTCATTGGACAATGTTACTACAAGTCCTATGTATATGCGCAGCTCTAATTCTCATATGGTGTCGCAGAATCTCAATTTAAATGCAGGTTTAGCAGATAGTGGTAGTGATATTAACTATCATGTGGAACATCCTAACTTGCACAAGTCTAGTGGACCAGTAAATGAGCATGTACCACCTGCAGTTGGTTCCGGCACTTTTCTGCTTCCTTCTGGAAGTAAAGGCTGTTTTATTGAGGGTACTGATGGTAGGCCAGGTTGTTCTCTAGACACTCGCCGTGTATCTTGTAAAAGAAAGGCCATTGAACGAAATGTTGGACAATCTTCGGATGGTGGAAGTTCTAGCTATAGTCAGCATACAAATGGTAGTACTTGGAACACTCTTCCTACTCAGGATTATGCATGGAACAATTTTAATAGATCTGCCCCTGCAGAACAGGTTAATGCACGGCTTGGCCTGAGTATGGGGGATGGAGCCTCTAAAAGTCTTCCCGAGTCTAATGTTGCAGGAAGCTCAGAAAGCTTTCACAGAAATTTTCGTTTGAGGATAAATCCTTCAAGCCAACAAATTTCTGTTCCTCCCACTGCAATCTCAAGTGGGAGTGTGATTAGGAATTCTGATGTTTCTTCATCCTCTCCAATATTGCAACAATTTCATCCTGTTGATAATGCTCCAGACTTGAGGTCAGTACCACCAGTAGATACTATGATTCCTCAAGCCCAAGAACCCTTTGTAATTCATGTTCCTGCTTTACCAAGGAATATGCAGTCATTCAGGTGGAGTGGTGGTTCCAGCTCAACTAATAGCCATTCATCAAACCCAGTTATATGTGGTGATAGGGATAATCTACCAATTGAAGAAACAGGCTTGAGAATTATGCCTAGAAACATTTTAGAACATCCAGTGTTCGTACCTGCAACCAATTTAAGAAATGTGCCTCGAAATCCAGCAAGAGTGTCAAGTAGTGCAAATTTAAGTATTCCAGGAACTGTTGGTTCTTCATTGCGGACTGGATCAAATGCAGCAATCAATCCATCATCTGCCTCGGCAGGGGTTTCTTGGCCTAATCCTCAGCAGTATCCACGCAGGCTATCTGAATATGTTCGTCGGTCTTTGTTTGCTCCTGGTTTGGAAGCTGCTGGAAGTTCAAGTAATAATTATTCTTCCTTGCATGTTCCTTCTACCTCATCTGAATCAAGGGGACTGTCGTCTAGGGTAAACCCTGGATCATCTTCATGGTATGAGAGGCCAAGTGACAGTGAATTTGGAATTCCCTATTCATTACGATCTTTGGCTGTTGCTGGTGAAGGAAGTAGTAGACTTGTATCTGAGGTCTGTATTCAGCTCTTTCTTCTCTTCCATTTCATTATTATTGTAGTTGTAATTGCTGGAAAAAATTGTTTCTTAGATGAGGCATCTGTGATATCATCCTACTTTTTCTTTGAAATTACATATTTGATCTCAGCCTCAGGCCTTGAGAGTTCATTTAAAGAAAACACCAAGCCAAATGAGGTAGTGTTGATTATAACAATGGATAATGATTTGTAAGGTTGCTCATTCATCGCACTAGGTTTGACTGAATTGCTTGACTTGTCACTTTGCGTAAAAAATTGAAGATAATCTTACTTCTATTTTGAATGTAAGCCTGTATCCTCTCAGTACCTTCTCAAGACACTTTCCAAGCTCTTTCACTATAATAATACTTTTGTGAGCTGCTATATTTTTATTTTTTATTGTGAATAATCGTTCTCTGAGTTGACATTCTCTTTTGGGCAGCTTCGCAATATGTTGGGCCTCATGCGTAGGAGTGGGAACCTGCGATTTGAGGTTAGTTTTATTTCAAATTATTGGCATATTTGAGGCTTTAAACCGGTTCAACTCTAATGCAAAAGATATGTTTACTTGTCTTATTGTTTTATGGTTTAGCTATCAGTGCTGAATTGTTAAGTTGGCCCTAATATTTGTTTACACTTAACACTAATAGTTTTGCTACCTTAATATGGTCTAGTTTAGGTAAGCTTTATATAGGAGAAGAAAACGAACAGAAAATATAAATAGAACTTCTCTCATAAGTTAAAAGCAACCTATAGAGAAATTCTTAAAAAATATAGAAGCATAAGTTATTTTTAATTTATGGGAGGAGTTTTATTCATTTTATTACTTAATTTTTACTCCTATAAGTACTTATTGAGAAGTTTATCCAAACTTGATGTATGTCAGATAGTAATATATCCTATCTACCTAGAAGAATGAATAGATGTCTAATTGTATCTAAGAATATTGTTAAAATGCAAACAGGATGGGATTCAGGTATCAAATGCTTGAGGGGCTCAAAAAAAGAGGTTAAAGCTAACAAATTATTTATGTTCTACTTTTCATAAAAAAAAGAGCATGAATTTTCTCTAAATCAAAATTTATGCATGATGAAATGTGTTGTAATCTCAATGTTCTTATGTTAGAATGTTTCTGAATTATTTTTGGGTGCTTTGTCTGATCTTCTTGAGCCCATATCTTAAATCTCTACTGTATAGTTGTAAGTCATGGATATTGGTATTTACCCCTTTTGACCAGAAAATGCTGTTTTGCTACAAAACAAAAGGCCAATGAGCCTGGCTGAGGAGTTCTGTGTCTTGAAAGATAATAAAAGATCTATATCATTTTGTTACTTTGTCAAAGTGTTGTGGGCCTGGACATGAGCAAGAACTCTATATCGTGCTAAGTATTAGTTTGGTGGTATATATACCCACTGATCTGCAGATCCAAATAGCTCAGGGTGGACTTCAAAGTTATAAATTTTATGGATTTTGTTTTGATTTCGGAAAATTGCATTTGCAACCAACATCAAACTGGCTTGAAAGTGATATGAATTGTTTTCTGTTTATCTCATCTGGTTGTGTGAGCTATTTGAATTGATATATTTATACCAAGGTTATATTGTAAGACCCGTGCTTTGATTTTATGATAGGATGTTATGATCCTCGACCATACAGTGTTGTCTGGAATTGCTGATATTCACGACCGACACAGGGATATGCGACTTGATGTTGATAACATGTCTTATGAGGTAAACCTTGTTCTACATTTGGATGCAACCTTAGTTCTACATTTGGATGCATATATATTGATACATGTGTACTCCTTTGTATCCTTTTGTCCCTTGCTTTTTATTTTAAGTTGATGCTTCTTTTTCTTAATATGCAACACCCATGAATATATAACAGGAGCTATTGGCCCTAGAAGAACGCATTGGAAATGTGAGTACTGGATTGAGTGAAGAGACCATATTCAAACTTTTGAAACAGAAGAAGTATTCAGCTGAACCTGGTTCTCAGCTTGAGGCAGAACCTTGCTGTGTTTGTCAGGTAAACTTAATAAGAGGAATACTAGTAACACCCTCTCAAACACATACCTTCTGATAGACTCATGAGCATTGGTGGAAATTTATTGAATACTACAAAATTAACTTAGAGACTTGTTTAATAAGGAGTGAAACTTGTATATTTTTTTTTTATGATTTTTAATAAACTTTAACCAATAATAGTGTCTGAAAGAATATGTCAGCGAATGTATTGCTAACATTTCTTAATAATTTGGTGATACCTTTTCTTCTGCATGCATATGCACATTGGTCTTGTATACCTGGAGTAATGATTAATATAAATGCATTGGTACACATTTATCTTATAACTTTATCTTTATGTACAGGAGGAGTATAACGATGGAGATGATATAGGATCACTGGATTGTGGGCATGATTACCATACAAACTGTATTAAACAGTGGTTAATGCATAAGAATTTGTGTCCAATTTGTAAAACAACGGGCTTGGCAACATGAAACTTGTCTCAAAATATTCTTAGAAGATGAATTTGGAGGTCAAGAAAAGTGGCACAATTATTTGCAACTGAAGTCTCTGGTGCTTTGCTGCTTAGTAAATGGCCTACCTTAAGTCTTAGCCGAATTTCTTATTGTCATTTTTTGTTTATTTGTCAAAGCCAATGATCTCTGAGTAAGGTGACACATGAGATGATTGGTGTGGATAAAGGAACATTTCTTAACTGTAGTTGTCAAGGCTTGTTTTACATTTATGAAATATTTTTTACTCTGCTCATTTTATATTGCACTTGTTTGATTTATGATATGATTTATATATGGGTAACCCGAAGTTAAATTGTGCTAGAGAATGGTTTCAAAGCACAAGATGGAAACTGTGAGTGTGAAATATTAGTCATACATTACCTTTTTTTGTTGTGTCAAATGGCCAGGTGATCAGATCTGGATCACTGGGTGGTTTTAGCATTCTGAGTCACATAATTATTGAATCTCTTAATCCATCCAGAGACAATAAGTGAGTTGGAGTTTATTATTAAACCAATTCTTGTTTATTTCTCATTTCTCTATGTTAAGATATATCACTTGAACAAATTTTTTTTTATTCAATTACAAAATATTTAAACCATAACACGACAAGTTCATTTTATTTTTGTTTTATTCATTATTAAATATCTAAAATAATCAAAGCAAAAAACTGAAATTAAAGATTTTACTTAAAAAGATTTTCCAATTGAAAGAGTGGAAAAGTAATTATGATATTAACACGCATTTTGTATATTCAGTTTTTTTTTATAGCAGAATCTATTATATACTTGTATTTCTTCTTTTGTTAATAATCTCTTATTTTTATCCACTTCAGACTTTTTTATCATGTGTGAAAATATAAGAACTTAAAAAGATGTTAACTTCAACATTTAGAGATAAGTGTAAGTATATAAAAAATATTTTTTTTTGGTTGAAAATGATATTTATTCTCTTTTTTTTATATAAAAAATAACTAATTCCAAATAAATGAAAACAGTTAGATATTGAAGTTTATATTTTATTTAAAAAATTATCATGATATTAAATATCTGAATAGGAAACAAGTGAGTATTTTTTTATTACAAATTTTATAAAAAAAGTAAATATAAAATAAGTTTTTGCATTAATATATTTTAAAAAATTATAATTAAAATAAAAATATTAATAATTGTTTTAAAAGGAAATTAAAGACGGTATTATATAAAACACGGTACCAAAAGTAGCCTCGGGAGTTGCACATTTCGGCTCTATAATAAATTGCTCTTCTGGTCGTTTGGTTGGATAAGACGGTGACGATTACTATGACGTCTTTGACTTTTGATTTTTTCTTTTCTTTATTTTAATTATTTTCTTTTCTTAAATTCTTTTTCTTATTAACGAGTGTTTTGAAAAATATTATTTAAGAAATTAATAAATAGTTGTTATAATAAGCATATGAAAATTATAATAAATAAAAAATAATTTCAAAAAAAAATATTCATTTTTTAAATCAGTTTCATAAGATTATTATTCTCAATTCTTTTTTCAATTGTATGGGGGCGTAGCGATTATTCTTCCCTTGATTTTCTGAAAATGCCTTGCAAATTAAGATTTGTTATATTCTCCTATTTATAATTATTTTTTATAATTTTTAATAAATTTTATCTAATAATAAAAAAGGTGTCAAATAATAAATAAAATTGACCAAGAAGGAAAGAAAAAGATAATAATAAAAAGGAACTGTTTCTGACACTGCAATGAATAAATAGTTTTATCTAGAAGGAAAGAGCATAGCAGATGATCAATGACTTTTCTTTTCTTCAAAATAAATGAACATTTAAACGTAAGTGCATATTTATTTGATCACTTATTCAATCATGGAGGCCTATCTTCTTATCATGGAGTACAACTTATAAAATCACTTATTTAGACAATCTTCTATTTTGAGTAAAAATCTGTTTATCGTATACAATTTCTTTTCCAGTGAGAAATCTTATAGATTCAACTAAACACAAACGATTCATGGAATGAGTTGGTGTTCATCCACAGGTATACGAATTCTACGATTTTTCATAAGTTGCTTCGTGGAAATTTGAATTTGTATTATCGTCTTCATAATTAGAGTTGATAGAATTGTTCCTTGTATCGACCCACCCTTTACAGCCATCAACATATATGCATAAAATGACAAAACTTGGAACAATTTTTTATATTCTCTTCATAATCTTTTTTGTTCAAATATATGCCATTAAAATTTTAAAATAAGCATTTGCATGTCATTCTATTATCAAAGAAAAACTCGATGGAAATAATATATTTTGAAAAAGAATAAGAAAAATATATATAAGTATGAGATACATTAAAAATCACAAGTTAGTATTTGGCTAACTTTTTTTTTTTTTTTTACATGTAACGTTTGCCTAACTTTAATAAGGACATTGCTTAGTATTTATTTATTTTTTAACGACATATAATAATAAATAAATTATAATTTTTTTAATAAAATTATCAATATATTGAATTTAATAATATCATATATATTTTTATTAAAAAATTAGTATAAATACATTTTTATTGTGTATGCAATTAGACACATGTTACAAGAATTATTATTTTATGTTTATAATTTTTAATTATTAAATAAATAAAATAATTAAGTATTATTTATATTTTAAAAATAACAAACACATACATTTTAAATATTTATTTTATAAAATATAAGAAGAATAAATAATTCTAAATTTTACTATTTTTTATGTTTATAAATTCATTTAATTATTAAATAAAAATACTAAATAAATTTATAATTTTGAAATAATAATTTTACATACTTTATTATTTAATATATATATATATATATATATATATATATATATATATACACATTTTATAACGTAACAGAAGAATTATAGAAAATTTATAAAATATATAACAAAATTCTACAAAATATTAAAAAGATATATTAGAATATATAAAAATAATTTTCTAATATGCATAAAAAATTTGTATGTAATACTTTTTATTATTAATTATAAAAAATGCATTAACAACATGAAATATTGATAAAAGTAACTATTTTATTATATATCTGTATATGCTCGTTGAAAAGTCGTAAAAATATGATGCAGAGGAAGGTAATAAGAGGCGCGACAGTAATCAGTGTAATAACGACCTCGTACAAATACTATAAAGCCATTTTGAAACGTTAATCCCGCTTACACAGTTACACTAAAACCCCAACTCCAACCTTTTTGTTTTATTTGCTATTTCCAAGTTGTTGATCCCATACCATACACACCATCAACAACTCTCTCTCTCTCTTAAGTTCAATGGATGGTGGCATGCACCAAACACAATCATCTTCAGGGAGAGCCTTGCCCCCTGATTCAGAAGAGTTCTCTACCTTCTGCAACCAACTCCTCCATAATTCTGCACCACTTGGGATGGACCCGAATGATTCCGGGTCGGATTTCACCCCACATAACCCGGTTTCCTCTTCGAATTTCCATTTCTCTGATCCCCATCATGCTAATCCTTACATCCCTCACTCTGATGCCAACTCCTTCAAACAACACCCCATTGTTTCACCTGTTGAGGTACCACTCCTTCATATTCTTTTTGTTTCTTTACAATTATGGTATCGTATACAATTATACATACACCCTTTAAGCCCATCTTTTCAATTCAAATATCAAAATTGAAACTTTCAAAACAAATAAAATTCTTAATTGCTAATAGTTTGTGTCATATGCTTCTGGGTGCAAGCAAAGCTTAATGAAACTTTAAACATAGAGGTGGGTAGATCTTATGATACATATTTTGAAATTTCTAAAATTACATAATGGAAGCCTTTGTTTTTTAATGAGTGGATTTTGATGTTTTTCTTTTGTGGGTAGAAGAATGTGGAGGGTTCAGTGTTGCCATCAAAACCTGTCCCAGCACCACGTACTTCATCAAAGAGAAGCAGAGCTGCAGAGTTCCATAATTTGTCTGAAAAGGTTCTCTTTTATCCTTCAAATTTTTGAGAAATCTTTCTGATTTCCTAGTTTTCACTGAAATTTTGATTTTGTGCAGAGAAGGAGGAGTAGGATTAACGAGAAAATGAAAGCCTTGCAGAATTTAATTCCAAATTCTAATAAGGTATCTCTCTCTCTCTCTCTCTATATATATATATATATACACACCATCCTTTCCTCTAAATTAAGCTAATTTATCTTGCAAAGGATTTTGTTTTGTGTTTTTGTTTTGCTTATGGATGAGTCCAATTTGTGTGTGTTTTCAATAGACGGACAAAGCTTCAATGCTAGACGAGGCCATAGAATATTTAAAGCAGCTTCAGCTTCAAGTTCAGGTGAGTTTTCTTTCAGTCAGCTTGTGATATTATATAACCACTCTTTCAACATGTCTTTTGTTTTCTACGTAATTCTTATATATTTTAACTACAATCATTTGCTGTTATTTTATTTGAGTGATTGCCTGAGTAACTGTCTAAAAGCCAAAAACATACCTTAACAGGAATAATTATTTCAATTCAATTTTTTTTTTCGAGAATGCGCTTTTTGTGATCATCTAAATGATGAATTTTTCATCAAGAATTTCACATAAGATGTGAAGTTGAGAACTTCAAAAACCTGTTTTGGGTAGTGCAATCAATTTACCATACTGCTGTGTTGAGTTACAAAATTCAATAAACAGCAAACATTATGACTGTCTGTGCGCATGCTCAACCATGATTTGGCATGGAGATTTCTTCTGTTAGTCATCAAAAGATGCACTTTCCATTAGTACTATATACATAGCTGGAGAGCTTCAGTTAGCTCTTGAATATTTTTGTGCAACACATTTGCCCTTACTATGACAGGATTGTCAATCAAACAAAAGATTGCATTTTAAATTGTTACATTTTGTGAACTAACTATTCCAAAAGCTTAAATTGGTAGGTAAAGTCGCAAGAATGGTTTTAAATTGTTATATCACATCTCTAACATGCCCCTTCACACAAGAGCCCTTTGGGTTTGAAGTGTGGATAAGCTGTTAGGTGAAGATACACTAATGGTTTTTATATTACATCTTTTAACACATTTTTATGTTGTCAAGAGCATCTTGAACCTGTAAAATGAACCCAAGAGGCTAGAATTTTAATTTATTCACTTCTGCTAATTGAGAAAAACAACAAAGAAAAGGCTTGGAATTGCCGTTGCCACATTTGACTAATTGTTACTTTAGTGCTTGTGATTGATTATGCAGATGTTAATGGTGAGAAATGGTTTGAGCTGGCATCCAATGTCTTTGCCAGGTGGACTGAGACCTATGATATTGCCTCAGACTGGGTTGAACCTTGATGAGGGCAATGGATTTCAGAATTCCACCAGTGCAGTTGCCTCAACAGCAAATGATGAAAGCTTAGTGCGACATGCTTTCAGTTTCCCAAGGCAATGTAGCATCTCAAATCAGGCTATTATCATACCCTCACTGACAAATAAGGCTACTTCGGACATCTCATCTAGTTTTCAACCCACTATAAAGGTTCATGATGGATACATACTTTGACCCTTCAATATCATTTTAGGGTGGAAATGAGTTCAGCTGGTGGACTTATGGCCTAGCATACATTAGGTCAAGTTTATTTATTAAATCAATTTTTTTTAACATTTGCATGTGATAAGAAGTTATATATAATAAATTTTTATTAAAAATTATAGAATATAATGTAATTCCATGCATTAATCTATTAAATACATAATTTTCAATAATTATATACAATTTTTTTTAATCTTTTGCACAGGTTAGAATCATTATTAAATAGATCAACAAAGTTTTATTATAAATTTATTTAGTTAAAAAGTCTTTTAAGCTTAATAGATTGACCTATTTAATTAAATAATAATAATAATAATAATAATAATGTATCATTATCAATGTAATATTTTAATATTATATATTTATTTTATTTAGAGGTCAGTTTTCTTACATATTTAAAAAACTTTATTACAAAGTAGGCTTACAAGGCAGATTAGACTTCTAAATAGATGAAGCCGTATCTTAATGATTTGTGGTAGGTAAATAAATCAAACTCAAGCCTTAAATTGAGAGTCAAGTCAGGCTCAGGCTTAAATTTACAAAGCCCTGGTTAAGATTGGCTTTTTTCCACCCATCTCAAATAATTGCCATAAATAGTACTTCATTTATCAATATGTTGAGCTTAACAACTTTTCCTTGTGTGATATGAAGGATACACTCTACAGCAACATGCCACAAGCGTTTTTGGATACAACAAAGATTGGAAAAACCCCTTCTCCAGACGTGTCTTAAAGAGCATGATTTCATCAGGGATATAAAGATTTTTTATATGGCAAGTCACCTTGTAAAAGGGTTCAGCTCGTGGTGCAGTAGTAACAGTTTGACACAATCTTTGTGCCGTTGTCACTTGTATTGAAATGTACAAGTATTTTTTAACATCACTAATTGCAAAATGAAGCTAATGAACATTCTGCAACATGTCACCATTTTCTTTTGATATTTTTGGATCTGTTATATTATTGAATGATTAGATTTACAATAGACATAAATGATCTAGAATTTGCTAGAACAGAGAGAACATCGTTGTAGGTTCAAGAATGACCCTACCTTCTCTATATTCCTTTGCTTCTTAGAATCTACTGTGCAATCTTAAAAGGGGTGTGCGGATAATGATTATAAAATTAGCATGGAGGGAGAGAAGGGATGGAATTACTGCATGCTTGGAAGAGTCTTTTTCTTCTGTGGCATTGGATGCGAGGTGAAACAAAAGAAAGAAATAAGAGGATGGGAAATAAAGTGGAAATAGAGTGAGAAATATTTAATGTTTGGATAAACTGAAATAAGAAGTAAGAAAATAATAATTTTTTTTTTCATTTGTTTGAATGAGTAAAAAAGAATGTGAAAAAAAATTGTGTTTTATTAAAAATATATAAAAATAATAATTTTTTATTATAATATTTTTTAATAATTTTTTTTAAATTTTTTTTAAACCACAAGTATTTGTTAGATACTGATATTGCTATTTTTCTTATAGCATTAATAATTTATATGGCTAATTTAGTTAGAGATGTGTTAGATTAATTTCATAAATTAGTGTAATTAGTTACTTTTTTCTATTTCATGTTAACTATCATTTCAATATAATTTATAAAATCATATTAATTACAAATTTTAAAATTATAGAAAAATATTTTTTAAAATATTTAAATATATATTTAAAACATAAAAATGAAATATATTAAAATAGATTTTATATTATAAAAAAGTGTATAAAAATATATTATAATCAACTTTTACAAAGTGTAAGAATATAAGACTAGAAAAGTTAATTATAATCAATTTCTACATAGTTAAAAATAATTAAATAAAAGTCAATTTCTATTATATATAAAAACTAAAATATTTTTATAAATAAATTTTGACCGATGTATATATATAATATTTCTTATTTATTTATTTTATTTATGTTAAAAAGTCAGAGTTTCTTGAGATACTTTTTTTTTACTAAATAACATAAATTAAAATTTATTAAAATTAATTAATATATTAATTTTTTAAAAAATAATTACAATATTTTATGTTTATCCGTAGTTAAAAGCTCTATTTGATAATTAAGAATAATTTCTTTTAATTTTGGTAAAAAAAAGAATAAAGATAGTGTTAATTATTGATAAATTTAAAAAAAAATAGAAGATAAATATGTAAAAACAAACAAATACTCTTAAAATTTCGTAAAAGACCTTATTCCAAAGATCAAGAAAAATATTTTACAAAAATCAAAGAAAAAAGGTGGTGTCCTACTAAAAGCTAAATACAAAATTATAATTATAAAGTTATACAACTCTAATGAGTTGTAATATTAGGAATACTCTAAGCTTTATGAAAAAAAAATATTTTAGAAAAAAATAATTTATAATTTTATAAGCAAGAAACCTAAAAGAATTTAGAATTATTTTTATTAATTAAAATAAACATTTAGTTTTTATAATTAATATTCATTTACAAATTAATGAATAAAGTTAAAAAAATATTTTTTAATCATTATATAAATATTTTCTTATATTTTAATTTAAGTAGTTATGATAAAAGACATTAGAATATAATAAAATATTTATATAAAAACTAAAATATACAATTTTTAAATTTAAAAATTAATTTATAAATAAATATTAACTATAAAAATTAAATATATTTTTTCTGAACTGTTTAACTCCTTTGAATAGAAAAAAATAAAATAATTCATAATATTAAATTTAGTTAAAAAATATATTATAACTTAATTTTGTTTTTTCATAATACATATTAATGCTTAATTGATATTTTTTATTTTTATTTTTTCTTTTAAAAAATAAATAAAGTATCAATTAATATTTAACAATCTTAATTTATATTATTAAATTTTTAAAAATACTTTTTTTATTACATTTGTGCATGAAACACTGTAGTATTCAAAATTTTAGAAAAGCAACTGAGTAAATTTTTAAAATCTCTTAAAATAAATGAATTTCTTAAAATTTATTTAAATATTTTTTATCAACTGAATTTTTTATTTATGAAAAATATATAGATATTCTACTTTTTTTTCTAGCAGCATTAATTTTCTTTTGTTACGTGTGAATTTTTTAATATTTTATTAATTATAATTTTGTTAAATGAACTGATTTATTTACTAAATCAATAAAAAAATTATTATCTACACGTGTGACCTTAAATCATAAATAATATTTAATTTAAATATAGGTATAGTTAGTAGTTTAAAAATTCATAGTTATTTTATTACTATCTTATTTTTAATTTTTTGAAACTATGTTTATGAAAGATTTTTTACATTGTTATATTTTAGTCTTCTCCGTTATAATTTTGTTAATAAAAGAAATTAAAATGTAACAACAAAACTAAAAATATATAAATTTTTTAAATACTTAAATATTTTAAATATAAAAAATAATTCATAAATGAGTAAAATAATAATAGTATATTTTTAACCTTATTTTAATAAACGAAAAAGCAAGGAGGGGAGGGGCAAGTGTGGAAATTGAAAGAAGCTTCTGCATTGGTCACCTCGTCATTTCCATTTCATAGGTAGTCTTCTTCTGACGGTGTGGTTCATCCATGGCTTTCCCTCAGCACCACTTACAACGGCACTACCAAACCCAACAACACCAACCACAAACCAAATCCTTCAGGTAATTACCCTCTCATAATTTATTCAAATCCCCAAACAATTTCCTTTTATTTACACCTTTCATTTTAACAAACTCTTTTTCTTTTATAAATTATCTTTGCAATTTAATCTACTCATTCCCCCCCTTTCCTATATTTCTTTCTCCTTTTTAACTTTTTACTTTTTTCATTCAGAAATCTTCAAACAATGGATGGTCAAATGTCTCAGCAGGTGGCGTTTTTCAACCCCACTGATTTACAAGATCAGTCTCAGCATCCACCCTATATTCCTCCTTGTATGTAAATTCTTCATCTTAGCTTCCACTTCTTCAAATTTTCTCTCTCTCTTTTTTTTTACTTACATCTCTTTAATGCTCTCAAAAATCTGAAACCCTTCAGGAAATTACCCCACCTAGGTTTCTTGGTGGCACCCCTTTTGGTCATCTTGAATTAAAGTTGTTTCTTTTATGTTATATGATGATTCAATCACTGGAAATTTTAAATTTTTTTAAGCCAATTATGTGTTTTTCCTTAACATTTATTTGGGGTTCTGTGGGGTTGAGATTACAAGTTAAACCCTAGATTTTTTTTTCCTAGTTCATGTTGTTGGATTTGCTCCGGGTCCTGTTCCTCCTAATGATGGCAGTGATGGGGCCGTTGATTTGCAATTGCAATGGAATTATGGGTTGGAACCAGAGAGGAAGAGAGTAAAAGAACAAGATTTTTTGGAGAACAATTCTCAGATATCTTCTGTGGATTTCTTGCAACCTCGATCTGTGTCCACTGGATTGGGCCTGTCACTTGATAATACTCGCCTGACTTCCACTGGAGACTCGGCTTTATTGTCGCTCATTGGCGATGACATTGAACGTGAGTTACAGAGGCAGGATGTAGAGATGGATAGATTTCTCAAAATGCAGGTGAGCCCTGGTTTTTATGTTTGGCTTACCGTTTTATTGGTTACATGTTATGTTATGATTTTCAGTTAATTCGGATATATTATCAGACAAGATAGACACCCCCATGAATAAGAGTGTGGTCCATAAGTGGGTCTGCCGAGTCATTGCATGATCTGAGAAGATGTTACAGAAAAGTGTTAGTGGCATTTTGGTGTATACATGTTTTGTTTTACTTCTGATAGATAATGTTTTTGATATTTGATGTATTTTATTGTTAGACCACGTGTCTGAAGATAAATAAAGTGATGATTTTATATAACTTTTTTCTTCTGAGGCTGTGTTATTTTTAGTCCATTTTGCAAGGTCTCTTATGAGAGAATTATTTGCATGAATCTAGTGTACTTAAGTAGGGTGCCTTAGGCCAATCACAAAACTAATTAAGATGCTTATCATAATTAATTGATATTAACAAGCAAAGTTAATGATGTGATTGGACTAGTGCACCCAACATAGGTGCACTAGGTTTTAGAAAGTATTTCAAATCTTGCTGATATGATGGGCGCAGGTGCAATAAATTATGTAAGTATTGTTCCTCTTGCTGATGTTGTTTGAAGTATGACAGTTATCTGAATAAATGGTTTAGGGAAATAATAGCCATCAGAAGTGGCATGTGTAGATTAGATTATGTATTGGAAATGGAACCTTGACAGAATTGTCATTTGTAATTCTCATTGCATTGCACTGAATTACCATTTACCATAACTAAGCGAAGAACCTGCCTGCACATCCATTGGAGGCATTTAGACACCTTAAGTAAAATCTGTTTTGATTATTTTTGAAGAGTCATGGGTGACTGATTTGTTACCCAAGTTTCGTTCTAATATAGAGTACTTTCTGTTTTATTACTAACTTGTTGAAGTTTGCATATTTGATGTTTGGAATAACTTTCCTTGGTCAACACATGAGCCACTCCCCCCCCCCCCCTCCCCCAAAAAATAATAATAATAATAAAAAATTAATGTCAAACTTTGAAGGAGATCTTTTTGGTTCATTCCATTCCCAGTATTTATTTATTTATTTTTAAAGTGTTAGTGCTCTAAATCCTATGATGCCAATATTTAGCTTGCTTTGTGTTGTTATTGAGTATTGAAATCACTTGCTATTTTAGTTTCTTTATAACATGAGTCAAATACAAGAACTGATGGCAAAAGCTTAGTATTTTCTGATCAAGCTTCATCATCTTCTTGTTTTTCTGCATTATGGCAGCATCAATACACTACTTTTCTTTCTAGTAAAATCTTCAAAGTTCAAAGGCCTTAATGTGCAGCATTAGAACTTATATATTATATTTGTTATAGCCTTAACTGACATCTGTATAGATGGGGGCAAAAATATCTAAATTGAGGATGCAACACTAGTTAACATTCTACTTTGTAAAATAGGGTGAACGATTGCGGGAAGCCATTTTAGAGAAGGTTCAGGCAACACAGCTTCAGAGTATCTCAATCCTTGAAGACAAAGTCCTTCAAAAGCTTCGAGAGAAAGATGCCGAACTAGAAAGCATCAACAAGAGGAATATGGAACTTGAAGACCGAATGGAGCAGTTGAGTGTGGAAGCTGGTACCTGGCAACAGCGAGCCAGATACAACGAAAATATGATATCTGCTCTCAAGTTTAATATTCAGCAAGCCTATGTCCAAAGCAGAGACAGTAAAGAAGGATGTGGTGACAGTGAGGTAGATGATACCGCATCTTGCTGCAATGACCGATCCCTTGATTTCCATCTGCTTTCGAAGGAGAATACTGATATGAAAGAGATAATGACATGTAAGGCTTGCAGAGTCAATGAAGTGACCATGGTTTTGTTACCTTGTAAGCATCTTTGCCTCTGTAAAGATTGTGAAAGTAAGCTTAGTTTCTGTCCTTTATGTCAATGCTCCAAATTTATCGGCTTGGAGGTCTACATGTAACTAGAATGAGTAAACCTCTAAATTAGTCTTCAAGATTGTATGAGTTGAACATTTTAGTTCTTGAGATTTTAAATATTCACTAATTCCTGACTTTACAAAGTGTCATTCATCCTAGTGTTTTTTCACCGTTATTTTGCTCTTAAAAGGAATAAAATGATGAAATAAGGTGAATGCTGTTTTATAAAGTCAGGAATTAACGGAGAGCTTTTACAATCTTAAGAGCTTAAAATGTTATATCCATATAATCTCAGTCAAATTTGGAAGTTTCTCAATTGGAAATTATACTTGGACACGTGAAATTTTAACGTTAAAGTTGTGTCTTCTCTTGTAGCTTGTATCTTCAAGGATCATGACACCTTGTAACTAGTTTTTAAGATGCATTTGACCATAATGAATTTCACTTCACTTATTGATAAACAGTTGTAAATTTTGAAAGCATGTCTGTTAAAATGGCTCATGCACGTGGCTGGTGACATCACGTGACTACATTTAGGACAAATAAATGTTGAAATTTATTTAGACTATTTGACAATCTATTACCAAGAATGTGCTGTAGATATCTCTGGGAACTAATTTCATTGACAACGTGAGAAGTGCTTGCAATGGAGCACAAGTATTTCATTATCAAGATATTCAAATAAATTGAAACATCGAAACCATTAGCTGTCATTTCCACTATGCTGTCATTAAACTAAATTTAAAATATAATATGGTAAATTGTAAATTAAATCTGAATTGTATGTTCATTATTTTAAAATCTCTTGAGCTTAAATGAGTTGAGTTAAATTTTCTTGATATCATACTCAGTTATTGCTGCTTTAGTCGTGGATCAGTAGTTGAGTTTCCAATTTGAAACGCTACCTTCATGGGTATGAAGCCCATTTAAGGAGATAGGCTAAGGCTTCGGCACATTGCTCAATTGTAGCTCTGAAGTCCAATTTAGCCAAGTGAAAAATCCAATCCACTCTTGTACAGACTAAAAAAATAAAGACCCAATTCGGTGCAAGTGAATTGTTAACCATAATTCTTAAAGCCCCATAAATTATCAAGAAAAAAAAAAGCCTTAAGATTTACACAATATCAACTTTTCCCATATTCCCTTTGAAGTAGATCAATGGAATACCATTTTATTTGTGTATTTATTTTTATAAAATATGCCGGTTTAATATAAATTTCCAATGTATAAATAAAAAAAAGTTAGCAGATAATAAAATATGCCAAAAGATACTTTAATATTATTGGAAAATTGCCAAGTTTCATTGTTGTTGGAGAAAGGAAGGGGCAGTCTGAGTTTTTAAATTGAAAAATTATATATTTAACTTATAGTAGAAGAATCACAGAGCAAACATCCTCCCAAAAAAATCATTAGGTAAACATAAATTTCTACCAATAGATTTGACAAAATATTAATCACACTCCATCCACTTGAGTATGCACACTCAATTTTCAGTTCTACCAGTTTGTACCTGAAAAACAAGATTTTTTTCCCTTCATGCTATATATACTTATTGAGTTTTTCTCTCTTATTTCATTATGGTCTAAAGTTTAATAGGAAGAAAGCACAAGGGAAAAGAACGTTTTTCTTTGAAGGAGGAGGAAAACATGGTTGAACTTTTTTCTAATCATGCCTTAGAAAGTGATGACAAAGGAAAGTGATGTGCTTCGCCCATGATTATTATAACTACATATCTCTATCATGCAATGATAAAAATTATTATGATTATAATTATTTGCTACAACTCTTTCACTTCCACAATCTTGCACCGCAAACTCTAGTTGATCTTAGTCCTGTCATACTCATACCTCATTGCCTTTTATTTTTCCTTTTCTTTCTCTTTAGTTCTGTGCACGCTTTCTCTCTTTCTTTGCCTTTTTCTTCTTATCTCTCGTGAAAGGAAAAGAATCATTTCGTCTAGTTCCAACATATAATTCAAATCAAATATTATTTTTACACTTCTATTCTGCATTTTTGTTTTATGATTAAATGAAAAGGAAAGTTTTTACATCCTTTCCTATATATATATACTATACCATGAAGAATATGATGAATGATATATTATTATTAAAAAATAAATTAACTATAATAAAAGATAAACCAAACATCACTTAATAATGTATTTTAGCAAGATGAATAAGTTAGCTTCTAATTTTTTTACTAGTTTAAAAGCTTATTTACCTAAACTAATTTTTTAATAAAAATTTATTTATCTATCTTGAAGTGTTTTTTAAAATGCTGTTTCATGTAATGTGGAAGTTTATATAAGCCCTTAGCTTATTAATTTTTATTTTCTTAATATCTTATTAAATTTCATCTTTTATTCTTCTTATATTGAGAAATCCTTAACACACACTCTCTCACTTTCTTTTACTCTCATTAACTATAATTTATTTATAGTATAAATTTAGTAAAATTATATTATAAAATTATTCATATTATCTCATTTTATTTAATAAAATATTTAAAAATAAGAATGACATTAAAACAGTTTACTGTCCTAATTCTTAAGATCATCAATTATTTAACATTAAATAAAATATGAAAATTAGTAATTATTTGAAAATATTTATAATTACAAAATTTCAAGTTATGACTAAACAATTAAATGTATTTTTATATTATTTTATACTTATTAGTTAGTTCAACAATTAATTTTATTAAATAATTTTTTATTCAATTAGCACCTCATCACCTTTTAATTAATATTTCAATTTTCAACAAGCATTTCTACCTTCAATCAACTTATCCATTCATTTTGTCAAACATACCTTAATTTTTTCCCTAGAGAAAAAAAAACAGGATGGATAAAACATAAGGTTTGCAAAAATAATGTTTAGTTAAAACTTAAAATGAATGAGAGTGAGACTCTTTACCTGAGTTCAATCATGCAACCTCATCCTTATTCCCTATAAAGCTGTTTTTTTATACTTTCTTTTTTCTTCTTTCTCTTTGTGGGGTCTGTGGTCAGCCTTCTCTAGCTAGGCCTGCTTCCTTCCACTTTGTATCACTATATGCTTTCTTTCTTTTTTCACTCATATCATAAGCCTCTGTGAATTTATTTTGGGACTCCAATTTATATGTTCTTTTGCAGTCAAAGTTATTCCTTCTTTAAGCTGAACAATGTAGCTACTTATGCCCACAACTTCTGCTTTTGATGGATATTGCGCTCTGATGCAAAGCTTCACTTCACGTAAATGAAACATTTGTTTTTTTGCAGGATATATATATATTATTAATTTAAGTGAGTAGCTTTAAGATGTGTACAAATTAATAGTAGTTCTAGTTAGACACATTCTCCTTAAATGTGTCAAGTCCTAGCTTATTATCATTCTAGCAACACTTTTTTAGAAGTTGCACTAAAAAATACGTACTATTAAATTGTAAAGTTTATATGTAATTGAACATATTTTCTTTGATATCCACGTAGAGCTATGATAGTTTTAACTTTTTTTTTTGGAATTATGTTTAATAATTTAGTTTATTTTTATTTTAAGGCTAAAACACTGAAACCAACGTTCACCACGATTGATCTCTCTATAGCTAGCTAGCTAGCGTCCACCATCGAAAACTGCATGTTGGCTTTCTCTGATATTCTTGTACCCACTAGCGCTTTTACATATATCTGCAATGAGGAAATATTTGGTGTGTGCCTATGCTTTTTTGAGTGGGACGTGAAAACAGCCTCACTCTTGTAATCTTGTTCTGCAAGTAAAGCCAATTCCAAACAAGCCATAATTGGGTGTTGGTTCCACTTCTAGCAACAGCTGTGCGATTCTTGTTCAATTAAGAAGGCACTAAAACAGAACTACTAACCACAAATTTATCTACAATTAACTCAGAAGCCCACCTAATTGTGCGAGTTTTTCAAACCATACAAAAGAAAATTATTTACTAATGAAAGAGAAATAGTTAGACATACGTTAAGATAATAAAGTCTTACTGTGATTACTTAGCAACAAAATGAAGAGTATGTAAATAAGAAAATTATGACTTTAAATTGCTTAAATATTTTTGATAAATATATCATTCAAACTTTAAGTACAGTTGATAATTTTTAATAATACTTAAAAATATATTTTAAAAATATATTACTAATATCTCTTTATTAGATCGTAGCTACATTTTAAAATTTTAATATAATAATAAAGTTCAAGTTAAAAGAAAAATTAGACGAAACTCAAACTTCAAGTTTATTCACTTTTGTAATACTATTCCGGATACAATATTTTTTATATTATATTGCTTTAATAATATTATTTTCAGATAAAAATTATGTAATAAAGACAAATAAAAATTATTTTATTTCTACAATTTATATGATAGATCTAATTGTGTAATTTTTAAAAAAATAAATTATATTATAAATGTAGAGTTTGTTTTTAACATGTATGATTTTAATTGATTTTAATTTAATGCTTAATTTTAAAAAATTGCAGAATGATCATAATATATTCTAACGATAAATCTATAAAAAGGAAACAAAAATGTCACATTTGAAAATAATAAAAAAATTATTTAAATTAAATATGTTGTAAGTTTAGAATTGCTAAAACAAAATCCATACAAAACTTAAGCTCTGTGTTAACCATATTATTTTAAAGTTGACATAACAACTCTTAGTAGATGCAACTCATCGATAATATACTACTTTAGAGAGATGTGACGATGAAAACATTGATTATAGAATAAAAAATAAAAGTAAATAAACAAAATAATATATTTTTATATTATATTCCCTTAATAACTTTTTTAAGATAAAAATAATGATCTAATAAAGAAAATAAAAAGTTATAAAAATAAAAGTGATGTACTAGCCTCCTCGTAATGATAAATAGCTGACAGAATTTTGAACGGTGATAGCATTTGTCATTTGAGGCAAACCGTCAATTCCATTCCATGGCATAGCTTCTGCCTCGTTGATCGAATGAGACCCGTCTCAGTTGGCAAAGACAACTTTATTTCAGACATGATTGACTCAGCCAGAAGGTTATTATTATTTAGTGGAAAACTAGGTGGCATTGCCAATGATATTTTTATTATTACTTATTTATATGCAAAATGATTCCGTTTACGAAACAGTTTTTTCCTGTCTTTTTTCTTTTTCTATACTTGTTTTAGTAATGAGAGTTTTATAATAATTTTATTTATTGGAAAAACTGGATAGTTGTTATCTATCAAACAAGGTACATAAACAATTCTCCGATCACAACATACATAATTATAATAAAACTAATGCAATTAGAATTCAAATTTATATATAATTCTTTGCCGAAAATCGATGATAAGATAATGAGAGCGATCGTTGTGATAAACATACAGATGCAGTCATGCATTATTGGATGGATGGCATCAGAAAAAAAATGCCACTTTAAGCAAATGCTTTACAAAGTTATGGACATGAGAGAG